CATGTGTGTTTGCCTACGTCGGTCCAGCGATTTACCAAAGCCTTTTGCCTCGAGCGGAAGCATTCGTTTATGAACAGGCAGATTTGTACTGTTAAAGTGTTGGTAGGAATTGTGAGAATGATTCTCGTATTCACCTTCTTTCCAAGACCCAGGGACCAGCATGCCTGCACTCCGAGCCAAGACAAGGCGCAAGCTGAGCCTGCACCCCACTCAGCATGCGTTATCTGCAGAGCCGACCCTTACATTCTGGACTTGGCAGTTACAAGTGGCACAACAAGACCGCGCGGCAGTAGTGATGGCCGCATGCACTGTGCATTAAGAATAACAGTCAGCTTTGATACGATGGTCCAGTCGTGAGTCGCAAGAACAGCAGGTAGAGCCCCAGACCCGAAACCCTGGAGCTTCACTCCGAATAATACATCTTCGCTCGCTGAACCGCCATGGCTTCGACGCCGCCGACCCGGAAGAGGCAGATGCAAAGGCCACTGCTGACAGGGAAGAGGCCGGTCGTCGAAACAAAGCCTGGCAGCCGTCGTCATCGTATCGCTTTTGTCGCTCCTTATTGGCGTTATTTGGCGTTCTTACCAGATGTTGCCAGTGTTGTCAATGTCGTGTATTTGGGACAGCGCGTTGTCCTTCACCAGTCCTACGTTTTCACTGAGATGCGTTGCAGTTTGAAGAGTGACCCTTGCTGGGTTCTTGCTAAGGAGTGTAATTTAAGTTATCACAAGAAGGGAACCATATTATCTACTAAGGATCCATATTATGGTAACTTAAATTAATTCCCTTAACAAAAACTCAGCTTGGGAGGCCGCGAGGGCTTCAGCGGCTGAAGAGCTTCTCCAAGGGCCTCGAGTACGCGCACAGCCAGGCCCCCTTCTTTCATGAGAGTCCCATCAGTCTCAGGTTCGAGTTGATACGGTCATCATGGCATCGTAGGCACCATGTTCTCATTTGACTTGATGTTGTTCTAATACTAGTAATAGTAACAGTAATTATAATTGTAACAGTAATAGTAATAGTAATAGTGGTGGTATCGGATGTCTGTTCCGAGGTTTGGCCGAGGCATTAAGCAAATTAGATCAGGGAAACCCCTCTTGCAGGCATATGCAAAAGTTTGCGGTCCGGAGTGGATCCGCGCCACAGCTGCATTGAGTGAAATGCTTTCTCACACTGTTTGATGGTTTTCGGGATGGTTGGTTCGAAAGTCCGGTCCCAAAAAAGCCTGCGGCCTTGCCTTCGACCTTGATCCAGTGACAGTCTTCAAGATGAACTTCGGATTCTACAGAGTTTCATTTTTTTACAGATTGCAGGCACGCTGCGTGGGCGGCTCCTGAATCGCCGTGTGGCGCTGGTGGTTTGTGGGGAGGCGGCCAGCCCATCTCCCCAAGATACAGAATGGTGGGAGTTGAAGAGGGTTCCCATCCAACGAGGTTTGGATTCGGGATTTAGGCTGAGGAGCCGATGATTTCTGTTCTGGGACTCATCGGCAACCCCACCCCCAAATCCGAGGGGGCCCTACAGTAGACCCCGAATGTTTGTGTCAGGCACATGAGGATGTGCTCGATCTCACCCGCAAGTCGTGCATTATCGAGCCGGAGAAGGCGGGAATCACGACAAGACTTACATTTGGTTAGAAGGGAATGGAGGAATGGGGTACAATTATAACCATTACTACCATTCTTCCATTCCCTATACTAACCAAAGGCAAGAACAGTCATGAGTCATCACCCTAGCTGAATGTATATAAACTGACGGTAACCATGACTATAGGAACAGCGCTCGCAAGAGGTCGCATGACTTGTAGGAAACTAGTGCGAGCAATGATCGCAGGCATAATCATCAGTTTCTAGCAAGTAACAAACTTCATAGTGGCCATTGCCGTGGTGCTGGTGCTGGTAGTGCAGCAGTATAAGTAGTAGCAGCAGGAGCAGTAACAGTATCAGATGCCGGAGGCTTATGGTCTCGATAACCGCGATTGCCTTGTGGGTATCAGTGACTGGTATCAGTGCTCCTGTAGCAGAGTCATGGTAGTCATAGTAGTCAGAGTATCCAATACTCGGAAGAGTCGTGGGAGTCAAGAATGGCACTATGCCACTATGCCTTCCACACTCGGAGTAGTCGTGTTTGCAACCAAAACGCAATCTGCAGTAAAGGCACAACAGAAATCGCGGCATAGTTCTACTGGAATCCGAGCCCAAATGCGCTTTCATTTCTGTTTTGGGTGGCTTCAGTGGGTTTCCAGATTTGCTTCAGAGTTTCAGAGCCTCTTGAAAGTGTTCAAGATATTGCTTGGGAAGCCCGAGCGGTAAATCCCAACGCTCCAAGCGATAGCTTCCGCGAAATCACAGGCCCCATCTAACTCGATTTTGTGCTTCTGTCCAGAACACAACTTAAATCCGCTGCCTAGCCCCTAGCTTCACAACAAGGCGCTCTAGACTCTAAATGCCTCAGAATTCGAAGCCCCAAACCATATCACTTGCAAAGGGCTGGCGAAAGCTGATAGATGCTGGTGCCTTCGGCTCTTCCTTGGCCACGAAGGCCGGCTTCCGAAGGTATCATTACCTATCGCTGACAATTGAGAGCTGACTCATTTCAGAAGAGGGTTTCTAAAGGAATCCGATTTCGCATTCTTTGCCTTCTCCTCAGTTGCCGCAACCAAAGGTCGAAACTCTGAGCCCTTAGACCTTCTATCGTGGCATATCATGTCAATGATGACAGCCTAGCAACATTACCAGCAATTGTGGTAAGGAGGATGGGAGAATAATCATGGCGATCAGGGCCGCGTGCTGTGTTAGCTGTGGCAAATCCTTCCTAAAGCAGCAAACCCCCAAAATCCTCTACCTTGATCATGCCGTCAATCTGCAGAGCCGATCCAAAAAGCCCTAAACCCTAAACCTCTAAACCCCTAAACCCCTAAAACCCTTAACCCTAAACCACCGAAAACCCCTAAACCCCCTAAAACCGGTCTCGGGTCGGGCTCAGGATTGCCGCTCCTTGAAGGGCGCGAAGGCCTGGGCCTCTCGGGTGGTCGACGAGGCGGAGGCTCCACCAGGGGTTTATGTATATATTAGTATATATATCTCTCTGTGTGTGTTTTGTATGTATTTATAGAATGTTATGTATACATATATATATATATATGTAGATAGATATCATTTTCATAATTTTTGGAGCCGAGTGTTTTTATTTTGGGGTAGGGCTTTGGTTGTAGATGCCGTAGCTGTGGTGGGTTCTGGATTTGTCATCGGTCTGCTTGACATGGTTTCTGCTGATTTCCTTAACTAGACCGCCGTCATTGCGTCACGGATGATGTGCATCCTTTTCTCACCCAGACCTGAAATCCCCATAGCTGAATCATGCTTCTAAGCACTAGATGCCTAGACTGTGAGCTACCATGACTGTGAACCACAAATGACGCGTCGTCGTCATTGTAATCTTCTGCCAGTCGTGTTGAGCATAGTCATCCCAGTGTTCATGGGATCCTGAGTAGCGATCGTGAGCTTGTATCTGCGACTAAGTATGTCTGAGCGTTGGTGGTGCTTGCTTTTATAAACATGGCCATGCTAATGTTGGCTAGCACGTGAGCAACTGTACGAGGACAGTGAAGAGGACGACCTCATCGGAGCGAAGTTGGTCTACCAGGCAGAGCTCGGCTGCTCGATGGCTGTCTGTGGATTTGGACCGCAACTTTCGAATTATGGCCAACGCAAAGGCCCTGAAGAGGATCAGGAAGAGAACTTCAAAGAAGGAGAAGGCTGTAGGCCACAAACCACACCTCTAAGCCTTTCTCTGGGCTCTTCAATTTAGAGCTCTCATGCCCCAGACCGGAGCTCTACTATAGGGGCTTTGAGAAGTTACATATACCATTTTTTTGGGGGGTCCTTCTTATAGTTATAGTATAATGGACCCCAAAATCCTATTCTAATTTATTGAGGTCCCTCTACTAAACCCTTGCAGTACCCCTTCAAGGAACCCTTATGATACCCTTTAAAGGGAACCCTATTCTAATCAGGAAGCCCCCTTTTTTATCCTTTTCCGAAGCCCCTGGCTGCCTCGACCAGGCGGGGGAAGATCCCCAGTCGGCCGGGACGGCGCGCGTCTTTCGGCCAAGCCAACCGTGGCATCGGCACAGCCCCCACCTGAGGCGCGCGCGCGCGTAGGCCGTGGGCCGTAGGCATTCCGGGCTTCGCGTTTGTGGCTTCGCGTTTTGAGGCCGCTTGTAGGGAAGGTGTGGGATCTCAGCCTTTTGGAGGTACTTGGCTTTCTAGGCAGCCCGATCGCGATAGCACAGATATTGTCATTTGCTCGGGCTTGCGAGGTGTATCAGTGTCAGGACCTAAAGTATTGAGCGATCCGCAAAACCGAGCACACCCTGAATCAACCCGAGAAGTAAATCCAAGTCTGCAAGTTTCCAACTACTCAGTGCAAAGGACTCTAGGATCCCTTTTTCTACAATGTCCCCTAAACCGTAGACTCTTCAAAATCGGGAGCTTGGAGCCTCCCGAAGGCCTCACCGAAGCCCTCGTCTGGGCCCGCAGCCCAGCCCAGCCGCTGGAAGCTGAGCTTCTTTGCACTAGGGATTAGGGTTCCCTTCATTTATAGGATCCTTAAGGGAGGGTGGTTCAAGGGGGGAGGGTATAAGGAATCCTTAGGGGACTGTAAGGGAACCTTAGGGAGTGCTAGGGAGAATTAGGGATCACTAGGCTATATACCCCCCTTGGACCCCCCTCCCTTAAGGATACTACAATTCATATTAAGGAATCCCTACCCCAAGAATCTTAAACCCCCTTTTTGGCCTCCCATCATATTAGCGCGGAAAGCTGAGTAATGAAACCAGCAGCAGAGGGCACCGACAACATCAACAAAGAACCGCAGAGCAGCTCTACTACTACTGTTTCTACTGCTACTGCTGGGGGTTTCAGGGATGTGGGATTAGAGGGACTTTTCTCAGTGGAAAAAGCCAAACATCCGGAAATTTGGTTGTTTCTGGCTTGGGAATGCCGGTTTGCACCTGTTTGGGGTCTTACGAACCGGAGCTTGACTGCGGAGTTCTGGGTGGTGAAGGCCTGGACAGCCGGGGGGGCTTTAACGAGAACTTCAAGCATGTTCGATTGTTCGATGATCAGGCCGACCCATCGAAACTCCACGTCTTTGAGTGGTCTGACTTGGACGAGGAGGCCTCTCCACAAACAAACTCCGGAAGTCTACAAAGGAGGAATATCAGGGTTTCAGCCAGGAGTTTTGACGTGTTGATGTCCCTTTCGGACGTCCATGGAGTGCCCTCGTGGTTGGTCTTCCGAACACATGCTGCAATATGCAGTCTCGAAACGTAATTGTGATAGGAGAAAGAATTACCAAAGTTGCTGTAAGCCGTGCGCCAGTCGCACACTAAGCTTGGCCTAAGCCCAATGCCCTCTCTGGCATGGCCCGAACGGAGGCCGATGCGTTGAACAAGCGGCGGTTGAACGGAGAGGAGGTGCCGGCCAAAGAGCTCGTCTCTTGGCCGAATCTACACGTGCAAGTGCAAGTCCTCGGGCCGAGTGGCTGCGTTGAGAACCCAGGAGTGAGGGCTTGAAAGGGTCACAAGCTCGCTAACCCAGCGTTAAGCCCCCTCCAGACTCCAAACCCCCAACCCTAAACCCTAAACCCAAAACATCCTGTATCTTCGAAACGGGGATTTTTGAGTTTGGGACTGCAGCTCCCATCCCAGCCCGAGCCCGGACAGCCGGATCCGAGGATGCGCTCATCTCCGAGAGGAAGAAGGTGAGGCTCAAGGAGGGCCTCGAGCTTCCCGGCTGGAAGACTTGTCTTCCCCTAACTTTTCCGTCAGGTTTCCTGTAGGTCATCTTTGCTTGTTTCTTTCAGTCATGTTTGCTTGTTTCTTTCAAAAAGCCGAAGGATATTGCTGGATGTTCGAACAATTCCTGTAAAGGTTTGGTCAAACTTGCCCTGTGATGACGTGATCCATGAGGGGCCTACATAGTGCCTACCATTTGTTGGAGAACAATCCAATCAGGTGCCAGCGGGCTCGAGAGTTCCTGCAATTTTCTCAGTGCGGCTACTCTAATCATGGCAGCACGTATGCTTACAAACAAATTGTCAAAGTCAGCAAGGTTGAAGAAGGAGCGCAGACGTCTTGGGTCTTAGTGACAGCAGCAGTCGCTACCACCGTCGCCGCCACCACCACTACTACGAGCACCCATTACCAATGACTCCTCAGCCCGCGTCTTCACCAGTGTCCACATCACCAGGCTCTTCGATGATTGGCTGCTACGACACGCCCGCAGCCTGAAGGAAGGCGCCCGTGTGCTCGACAGGAGCTTCAGCAGGTTCAAACAAGGAAAGCCGGCAATTCAACCTCATCATTCCCGACGTTACCAGACATCCTGAGGGCAGTTCGTCTCGGCCCCTCAAAGTCCAGTACCTGAACTCCTGGGTGTCCTCTAGGCAGAAGAGGGTTTGGGGTTAGGAAGGTTGGGGAATACACTTCTGTGGTATTTTGTTGGTTTCTACACTGGCAAGACTCAGAAGGGGACATACTCGGAATAAGCAAGCGAAGACCCTGCTCCTCTCACTTTGGAGGCCGTCGCCTCGAGGTCGTCCTGGAGGACCCTTCCCGGCACACTCCGATGCCACAGTCGGGTTAGGGATCCCTAGGATTCCTTTAAAGGGATCTATAGGGGTTCGTTTGAAGGGATCTAAAGGGTATCATAGGAGGCCAAAAGGGGTTCTAGCCTATTATGGGGGTTTGGTGGGGATTAGGGTTCCCATAATAGGGTTCATATTAAGGACTCCCGATCCGTTTAGAGAAATGGGACATGAAGGCACACCTTGCCAGCCAGCAACCTGAGCTTGGAACAGCCTCGAGTTGAGAGGGAGCGCGCAATCCCGTGAGTACTTCCATGCCATTCTAGGGCTGTGATGTTCTTGAGTTGGTTCCAGGGTGCCGTAAACCATCGTCAGCTTGTGTCCAGGCCCATGTGCCCGCCAGAGAGGTGGAGCTGCACGAGGCCAGGAGAAACGGGGTTCGGATGGTGTCGGGTGCACTCGGGGCTGTTGGATGGAAACCGAAAACCGACAGACAGACATCCCTTCAGCGGGTTTAGCCGTTGTTGTGTGGTGTGTTATCGGGTGTTTGATTCGTCTTGTCTTTTTCAAACGGACCATCAGCAGACCCGGCGCTTGCATCGAGAACCCGAAGGCCGAGCGGTCTTTAACTAGGCAGAGATTGAAGGCTCTATTCATCTGGGAGATGGCGCTGATGGTTCTTGGCGATTTCGACGTACAGTGATAGCATACTCTACCACAGTCCTAAGCATCTAGATCTTAGGATAGCAAGTGCAAGGCATTCGAGATATTCGAGCCCCCGATATAGCAACTGGCAAACTCCAGATTCAATTACCCTCTGCTGCTCCGCTTCTGGGCTTTTGTGCAGAAAGCCACTCGTGGCCCTCAGGAGCCCTCCTGCGGCCCAGCTCCGATCCCCCACAGCTGCATCCGGTCGATTGAGCAAGACTCTGACGAAGATTCCGAGGACCCTTGGAGGGCCCCGCGCTTCGCGCTTAGGAGTTAGGAGTTTCGGGTTGGGCGTTTGTTCACGTCCCGGGCTTGAGGACATGATTGGCACCGAGGATGTAGGAGGAGTGGGCTAAGCCCCAGGCTCCAGATAGGCTCTAGATCCCCCAAAACTGTCTACAGGCCTCCATCCCTGATTGAGCCCCTTGGAGGACGAACGCGATCCCGATGATGGCCAAGGCCTGCAGCTCTTTCAGGTGCAGTGCAGGTCTTCAGGCTTCAACCCTTCAAAGCCTCCTCTGTCGCGGCACAGAGTGGACGAAGGCATTCCAGCCCTTCGGGTAGCGTGTAACACAAGATAATTCTTTCGGTAGTTAGTTAGTCAGCGTGTGTGTTTGCGTGTGCGTGTGTGTGTGTGTGTTTGTGTGTGCGTGCAGCCTTGTTTCCGAAAGCTGCTGTAGCTACCGTGACGTCTCATTGGGAGACCACTTTGAACCCGTAGCTCCTTCGAGGCACATACTTGGACTACCTGCGCCGCCGCTGCCTGGAGTCCATTCCCAGCTTGATGCATGCGATGGACCCGCGCGAGCTGGGTGGCTCGTCTTTCTTGAGTCAGGGCTCCGGGTGGCTCGAAATCACAAACGGCATCCTAGGCTCCGTGTTAAAGACTATCTGACCCTGAGACTGGATCCAACACCTCAAGCACAGGTGACGATGACCACGAAGATCTCCGCGATGCCTTCCAGGCAAAAGCAGGGATCTCATTTGAGGGCCTGCCTCGTTTTTTGGGTGTGGGGTTCTTGCGGGTTGGGGACTACCGGCTCTAATCATATCTGGTGCTGTACAGTCCAGGGAAGCAGAGATCCATCTGCCCGATCCACCCCTAACCTCGACGGTTCGGATCAGAGCACCAAACAGCAAGGCATTCCATAAAATTTCAGACCCTTAACCCCCTGCCCGACCCTGCGGGATCCCAAGCACCTTCAAAGCCGAAACGTCTTCCTCAGCAGGCTCTCCTGACCAAGCCTCTTCCGCCGGATCCGGAGCTGACCGAGCTGGAGAAGACGGATGCAAAGGCGGCGCAGGATCCCTGACCTGAAGCAGAGGTGTTTCGATGTTTCGAAAGCGTCTCTCTATGTATGTTTCGCTCACACAGACATACCTTTGGACACATATCCTGCGAAGGTTGCAAAGGCTTCTTGTTCGGAGGTTGGGCAAGGAGGTTTTGGGTTTACGTACTGGGTTCAAGGTCAGCATCCTACCCTTAACCCTCTGCTCCCTTGCTGGTGTGCCAGGAGGAGGCGGTTGCCGGGGTGCCATCGCGGAAGGCCTGCTTGTCTTGGTCGAGCATCGGGACGTCGATTGGGATGTAGAGGTTTGGGGTTCACCCTGGCAAGGAGGCTTGCTCTGAGCTCGCGGGGCGTCCGTGCTGATTGTCCGGTTAGCATCAGCTCGAACTCACTGCGGCTCTTCAGTTGAGCCGTTGCGTGGCGACTTGCGAGAGCTCGTCCATTTGCTGTTCTCTCGCTTGTTTCTGAAGCTGATGAGGAACCTGAGCCTGTCTCTTCGTTAGAACTCGTCTACAATCTTCCGCAGACTGCAACCTCGCCTGCACACATTCATAGCGACCCCTGATATTCCTTGCGACGGCTTCCTTTCAGGCTCGGCGCGCGAGTCGCCGGCCGCAGCCGGTGCCCTCTTGGGAGGCCGTGGACTCCGTCTAGAGTCTAGAGTGTTCAGGCTTGAAAGGTCTAGAGACGCTTCGGCTTCGGGCACTTGGAAGTGCCCTTGGGCGCTGGCCCTTCTGTGCCATTCGGTAGTTTGGCCGTGTGATTTGCGCTGAATCGGTGGTCACGTGGTGGATCTGAAAGATGCTCAGGTGACACCAGTTTCGTCACTTTCGGACAGTCATGAGTAGCTTCAGGGTTGAAAGCAAACAGAGCTGAGTCCCGCCAGGCATACTTCGGTGCGACAGCAGAGCTTCTCTACTACTCGCGTCACGTCAAGGCACCCTGGGTCAACCGTTCCAGGGTATGGGCTTCCTACATCAGTGCCTCAAGTCACCCTCGCCGTGGACATCGAAGCCCCTGGGCCCGAAACGCGGAAACTGGCGTTCCAACTGTGGATTCCGATTTGGTGAGTACTGTGCTTTCCCTCAGCCTTGGATCTTAAATCTTTGAGACGGTGGTTGCACAATTCAAGCGGGTGCGGCATCGTGTTTACTTATCGTCATCGTCGTTTGGCATGTTTCCTGGAGCATGATAGCCGACAGGTATACGGTATACGTGAGCAAAGCTATACGAGTGAGCTGCACGCGCACGAACTGGGACCTGATATGTGCATGCTCAGCGAAGAAGAGAGGTGTTTTGATGGCAGATCCCGTGAATTTGATACCGATACCTGTCCTTGACTGTCGGATACCCCTTCGTGCTGGTCCTGAGTGCGGCAAGGCCAGGCTTTCCGACAAGCAGTAGGTACCCCAACTCCGAAGTCTAAGTCCCGGCAGCTTAGCCAGAAGTGCTGAGGCCGAAGACGCCCAACGCCAAAGACCCCACGCCACATTTCCAAATCCCTTTTCTCCAGCCAACAGCTTCGCGGGAGGGAAAGGAAAACCAAAGGCAGTGGAAAAGGACCCAAACCTTGAGCTAGGCGGACTTCGTACCCTTCCTGATGGGCTGCCTGGCGCCTTCGACGAATTCGGCGGCAGGTGCCAAGCAAAAATTTCAGGTTTGAGGGTTGTGGGGTTTCGTGTTGCGCACCGTGTGTTGGGACTGGCGGGCGTCGGAGAAAGGTTTATGGGAGGGGTCTTGGACTCTGTGTTCGAGATCTTCAGGTTGAGGTAAAGGGAAAACTCAAAAAGGGTGCAGATGTCGGTCAGTTTGGAGGAGGGAGCCATCGATTCCAGTTCACATGTGGGTGGTTGTCAAAATTATGGCCTCTTTTTGGGCACCCTAAATATTATTAGGTGCCGTGCTATATTGGGGACCCAAAAAGGGACCATAATTTTGACAACCTCTCATGTGACTTTGATCGTAGGCCCGAATACCCGGTGCCTAAGCCCGAAACCTTCCTCCCATCAGGTGAGAGTTGGTTCGTCTTTGGAGAGCCGGGCGGGAGCTGAATTCGAGAGCTGGTGCTCTTACTACCCATGAACCCCAGCTCCGAAGTTTATATTCCGAAAGCCCGACTAGTAACTAGTAATAGTCCCGAAGCTCCCCCGGAAAGCCCTCAGGTGGGCCCCAGGCCCTGAAAGATTTCTTTGCCGCTCTCTTCTTCGACACGGTGCCGGCGGCCCTGCAGCGTCTGAACCTGGAAGGCTGAAAGAGTGCTCGTTGTTTGGTGCTGTTTAGGTTGCCACGATAGTGGCTGAGAGTTCTCCTCATGTTTCCTTTCCTTTTTCTGTCAGGGCAAGATTGGCATGTAGGCAGTACTCGAGGGGCTTTGGCCGAAGCCCAAAGCCCAAATCCGAATCCCGAAGAGCAAGCAGAGCTGCAGTCCAATCTTCAGGCCTTCAGCGCGCCCCACGTCCCGCCCGCCCCACCGCGTGTCGTGGACAGGAGAGCGCCGATCCATGGCGTGCGTCAGGTCGCTGACCTACGACCAGGCGGATGAGGGTCAACGCGCACTTGGGACTCCAAGCCGTCTTCACACGGTGCTTGAGAGTGTTTGGTGGTGACTGGCTCTTATCCCAAGCTCCTGAGAAGGACAGCTGGAAAACCCAAACCGGCCCTTCAGGGTACCATGTCAGAGGGAAGCCGAACAAACGTCAACAGAAACCCCAGCTAGGCATAATCCCATGTTATTGTTGCAATTTCCAGGATGGAAAGCTGATGCGACGGCCTGCAGATGGTGGATTGGTGCCTCACTCAGTCAGTGCCACAATGTGTGAGTAACAAACTTCAGAGTTCAAGGATTTGCGCTCGTTTGGTGGATTAGGGTTCTACGGTCAAGTTAAAATGCAGAGTTCTACGTTTCGGTAATGATTCTGTTTTTTTGCACGCAGCCTGGACCTTCCGAAATCCCACAATCTGTTGCCACTCCTACTACTGCATCACGAGACAGCCACTGAGCCCGCAGCTTCAAGCTGCACAACTTGGTTCTCCGACCAGCACCCTAGGGTCCGTGCAAAGCCGACAGCACAACTGCAAGACATACTGTGCCAAATCTTATACTCCTCATGTAAACCCTCGAAACATAAAGGCTGAGGGCACCTTCAAGTGCATGCTTTTAAACGCCACATCCGGTATTCCGAAGCCTCAAGCAATGTTTCCTCAGAGCCTCATAGCACCAAGCAGACATGGCCTAGAAATGCTCCAGCTCCACGTTCAAGACTTCACTTGTCCACTGTGAGGTAGATCATAAGCATTTGGGATTTAATGCCAAAAGCGGAGCATATGTCTTGAACTTCCTTAAGTAGAGCTATAGGAGTTCCACTCCCGAAACTCCTCGCCTCGAGCCCTAAAGCCTAAACAGTGAATCAAGAACCCCCCTCTACAAACCTTTATCTCCACTTACAGTAATACCCCGAACCACAGACCCTAAACCCTATACCCTAAACCCCCGAACCCCCCATCTGGTCCCTGAGATTCCGGTGCGCGCAGCTCCTGTGGAGCAGTACCTGAAGGCCACCTCCACGAACCCACCGAGGCTGGGAAGGGTTTCGGGCTTAGGGTTGAATCTCGGGGCCGTACTAATTTGCAGTTTGAATAGGGTTGGGGGGCCCATTATACTATACTTATATAGGGAATCCACACGATAGTATTGGTGACATTTCGGCCCCTATGGTAGGGTGTCTTTGGGGAGCTTGGCTCATCAGTTAAACTGGTCGGGTCTTGGGTTATGGGTGTAGCAACCTTTACAGAAAGCACTATATCGCAGCAACCCTTGTGGTAACATTGGGTCCTTTCCTTAGTTTAAGTTGCCATAATAAGGAAACCCTGCTATTTACTCTAGATCGCTATTATGGTAACCTAAATAAATTATATAGATCCCTATCATGGTGACTGAAATAGGTTATATAGATCCCTACTATAGTAACTTAAACAAACTATATTCCTTAACAGGAACCCAGAGCAGGACCTGGATCTCCGGCCTCGCCGAGTCCCTGCGCCAGCGCGGCGCCGCGGAGCTCGTGCAAGCGGCGCAGGCGGGTCGTAATCATCATATTGATCTTCCTAATATGCTAATAACAGTAAGACTGCTAACCATCACATGTGATATTCCTAGTATGCTAGTAACAGTAAGACTGATAACCATAACTACAGAATCAAAATAAGAAATCATCGTTCGAGTGATAGTATACCGATCACACTGAGGTTGTTTTTGGCCACTGAGGTATGCGTCTATGTCTCTGTACCGCTGAAGGTTTAGAGCTGTCTCGGTTTGTGAGCTGACAAATTCAGAGTGCCAAAAGAGAGAAAAGACTGCTCATAGATCCATGCGGTGTTGAAGTAGGCGTTGGCGGGCACGCAGGTTGGGGAAGCAGCAGCCTCAAGTCCCTCAGAGAGAAAGTCCGCCTACATGCCCCCACACTTCAATGATGGCTGTAATGTTGCAAGTGAGGTAACCAGTTAGAATCAACGATTGCGCCCACCAAGGTACTTGTCACCGCACCCGCGGTCGCCCATGAGCTCTTCTAACGGCTTCTCTCAAAGCCAAGAGCACCCTGTGAACTCCTACACTTAGGTCCTAGACTCTAGACCTTAGACCTTAAACCCCAAACTCACACATGCGCTTTCAGGACTGGTACCTGGCGGCTGTGAGCCATTTGCTCGCGGATCCCAAGGTTCCAGGGATTAAGAACGGTGTCGCGTGGAGATTTGAGGTTGCAGGGAAAATAAGACCGACAACAGTACACTAGCGTGATCAAGAATGAGACAGTGAGATTGTTATTTGCTGCGATGTCTTGTTTATGAATATGATTCGGGTTAGCATCATCATCATGTACTAGTTACGACTGGCATTCCTTGCTCTGGGCTGCAGCGGTTACTGAGGATTTGCCAAGAGAATCGAGCAAGTGTAGAGGCACAGATTGGAAGCCAATGTAGTGCTGCTGAACTTTGTATTCAAAGCGTGCCAGTGTAGCGTTTCGATGGTGCTTCCCTGCTGCTGCGGAAGGACGATCAAGCACCACCTTACAAGCAGCTCCAAGTGCAAACCCGTCTCCGTGGCCTCAAGTTCTTGACCCCTTCGTCCTCGCCTCTGAGCGCCCGGCGTGTCTGAACCCAAAAATCACTTCGTCCAGAGCGCCGACGATGACGGCGACTACTTCCTGGCCTGGCTTCGGGAGTGCTGCCGCGAGGTCTCGCACTCGGGTCCAACAGCCTTTGTTTGTAAATCGATGCGAAGACTTCCATGTTTGTTGCAGGCGGCCCTGTAGTGTTACGGGCCCGAAAGCTGCATTTGACAATGTGTTCATGTTCGTCCGTTGCTTAGTGCTGCCTCGGACATATGTGCCGGATGTAAAGCTGCCAGACACATCGCCTTGCGCGTAGCTGGCAAGGTCTACGATGACGTTGACAGGACGGGTGGTGTACACTCCTGGCAAACATAGTTGCCACTCATTCTGATACTGATAATTTGCATTTTCTTCTCAGCTTCTGCAGCTTTCTTGATGCAGCCCTCCGATGAGAGAGCTTGCTCTGGGACAGTTGCTGCCAGAACAGCACATGTTTAGGCCTCGCTCCGACAGATCTGGGAATCGCAGACAGCAGAAGCTCTACGACTTTTCTATGCTTTTCTCCTGTTGCCTTTGTGCTGAGTTTCACGTCCTTCCCATTGCTCCCTGCGCGTTCAGATCCTCTTTCCGTTCTCGCATGGTCGAGGAATGATCCCAAAGAGCTTCGCACCATGAAGAAAGTGAGGACTGGCTGCTGTGGACGGCCGTGCTCAGTAGGTTTCAGCATGTCAAGGCCGGCCAGCGGTTAAGACTGTGATACCACGAGTGGAGAACAGAAGGTTTGGATTCTTTTGCGTTAACAGAGAGGGTTTCGGAAGGCATGGACACCCTCGTTAGCCGTCCGTGTGTTTCTTGCTGCGGAGTGTCTGCTGGCTGATCTAGCTACTTCTCGCAGGTCTACACCTGGAAGCTAGAGCTCCCCAAGTCATTGCCGAACGTTTTTTTTTTTTGCAGAAGCCGCTTGAAGTTTTGAGGAGTGTGAAGAACAAGAGCAAGCGCCACAACCTCGGCGACATCCACATCCCGAGCATGGAGGAACCCGCAGCCGGTTAATACTGGAAGGGTGCATGGTGGTGGCAGAGGTGGTGATGGTGGAGGGCGCTGATGAGTGACTGCCTGCAGTGACACGACCGGAAAGAAATTGCAGGGCTTTTGCGACACCACATTAGCTCCAACTTTCAACCCGGACCCAAGCGAGACACACGTTGGGAGGCATGCGCGATAATTAACTGGAGTTTTTAAGTTCTCATGCATCGAAAGCTGTGCTGGTGCGGGCGCAGTATCCTTTTCTACATAATCGCTGCAGAGGAAGCCTTCCGAGAGCTTGCCGAGTTCGAGCCGCAGTCGGGGTGCTCGGAGACATGCCTGGAGGGTTTCCGAGGATGCGCGGGTTTGATGGGGTTGCTTGGCGGAAAGATGAAAGATGGTTTAGGGCAGTGTGGCGAAAACACGCTGCAACGATGCTTTTGCAGTTTCGAGAACTAGGGGCCCAAATCCAGCTCTGAGGTCAGGCAGCAGCCGCAGGCAGCGTGCCGTGGCCTCGGCTGGAGCGGCGAGTCGGGGGTTCAGAGGCGGCTGTGACGGAGTGACTTATTGCCAGTACCGTGACTCGTGTGTCCTGAAAAACCTACGAAGAACAAGGACAGCAACAGTAGCAGCAGTCATGAGTCCTAAATGCCATATGCACACGCTCAATTTGATGGTTCGCATGATGCGGTGATGATTCTTGTAGGTATTCCAACCGGCCTCGCCAATGCTATTGATGCTTCTCTCTACCAAGAGGATCCGACATCTAATGCTAGAGTTGTGACCAATCTTATTTGCTACCTTCGTTGCTAGTACAACTCGGAGTGTTGATTCGGTCATCACGGCCAGCATCAGCCGAGTCTTGCCACGATGCCACAGCAGCTGCTTCGAGTGCGCCTAATGCTAACATGAGGGCTCTCTTGTGCCAGTGCTTGACAAGGCCGCATAGTCTAACCACTGATATTGGAGGAGCTAAGGAGCCAGGGGTGATGATAATCCCTACTTAATAAGGAGCTAACCCCAAAACCATAGGTTAGTAGTGGCCATGGTATGTTGGAATGGGGGCTACAGCGTATAGCCATGCTGGGTAGGGGTTTCGCAAACGGGGTCAGTACACACACTCTCAGTGTTGCTTCCGTTCCGTCCAAGCCATGCTTCATGGCGGCAAAGCCTTGGCCACGGCTCCTCTGTGCCCGCAGTTGCGCCCGCAGTGCGACAAGGTTCGGGAGGGAGCCCCCGGGCAGCTCTCCGGGAAAAGTTCGCTTGCCCCGGAGACAGTAAAGGCAGGTGCGACGCTGTCGCTGGCCGTTGCTGCAGTAGCCTTGTGGCGCCAGCCCCGGTCCAAGAATTGGAGACAGACCGGGAGAAGGCGAGCGTTGCATGCGTTGCATGCGATACAGTACTGCGATGGTTTGGTACTGGGAGGCCGACCTGCATCCGTTTGGCTGCCCGGCTCCGCGGGAAAAAGCATGTCCACATACTCTTACTCTTTCAGCTCTCGAAAGCTGTCCAGAAGCGTTCTGGGACTGCCGCTGGGTTCCGGGCCCGTCGTGGTCGAGGTGCCAACCTCGTGCGAAGTGAGTCTGGGCGAGTTGCCTTCAACAGTCACTGCTCGTGGCGCCGTCCTGGTTCATGGCCTCCTGTGCTCCCGCCTGGATCTGGCGCACGTTGCCGAGGCGCTGGCCAGCAGAGGCTTCACGGTGGTGGCGCCGGAGATGGACGACTCGGTGAGCCACGAGGATGCCGTGGCACCTGGCGGCTTTGTGGGGGAACTGCTGAACCGGGAAGAAGGCGAAGCAAGGCGCTGCGAGGTGGCCAGGGAGGCTGTGGCCTGGCTCCAGAAGCGGGGTGCCCAACAGGTCGGGCTGGTGGGCCACTCCCGGGGTGGCGTGACCATCTCCCAGCTGGAAGGCAACTTCTGCCGTGTGAACATCGCAGGCTTCCAGCCGCCTCCTGTGGATCCGGAGGAGACCTTCTCGCCTTCTTCCCGTGCCGGGCCGATGCTTATCATCTGCGGCCAAGATGACGAGGTTTGCACCCGACCACCCCTGTCCATGCAATACGTGCAGGATACCGTTCGAAGACTTCTGCCTGATGCCCAAAGCTGGTATCCTGCTGGCGTGGGCCACTTCTCCGTGCTGAACCCAAACGTCGTGTCTCAGTGGCGACCCCTGCTGGGCCCCGCCGGCTTCTTCGCACCAAGCTCAAAGCCCGAAGTTTCGGAGGCCTTGGCTGAGCGAGTGGCTGCATTCCTGGACGCCGAGATGCCGTCAAAAGTGCAGGATTGAGCGATTGACTGGCAACCACTCAGGCAGGAAGGTGCATTTTGGATAAACCATCCCAAGCCCTCAAGACTTCAAAGCTGTATACACTATAAGCTATAAGATAGGCTTTAATATCCTATCGTATGCTCGAATACCCCGGTTCTCATCGCGTTGAACTCGCGAAGGCCAAAGCCTTCCGCGTAATCAGAACCTCGCTTTTTTGTTCAGAAGGCCGTGCAAACCGAATCCCAGGAAGCGAACACCCCAAAACCCGCAACCTTAAATCCTAACCCTAAATTCTACACCCTAAACTAATCGCTATACACCCTAAACCCTAAGCCCTAACCCTAAATCTAAAACCCATGCCCAGGTGTTGGCGAAGATCGTGATCGATGCTTTCCAGCTGCGACTGGTGGACCGGCGTCAGGGGGTTTTTGGGACGTTGCGGGGCACGGGGGGCGGACTTCATATTGGAGTTTCACAAAATTAGCGGTACCCTATTATTTTGGGGTCCTTAAACCCACTTTTTCGGAAACTCCCATATATGTACTGTGCAGGGCTTCCGTGTTCCATGCAGCATCCCCCAGGGCGACACGCCGGTTTAGGGAACAGGGTCCCCGGACCTTCCGGTCTTGAAGGTTTTTGGACAGCAGAAAGCCCCAAAGTTTAGAGTCTGTGAGGAAGCTGCCAAACATAAAGATCCCCGAGGCCCTGAACTCGTACAGGACCTCATCCCTAAACCTTGAAACGGAGGACTTGGCAGCAATTCTCCGGGTTGCTGACTGCGTGCTTTCGGCCAAAGAGGTGGGCCGGACAGTCGCGGCAAGGGCCTTCAGGCTTCAGGTTTTGGAGAGGGCTTGATCCATCCCCCGCCCGGGCTTTAACAAGTTTTCGGGACTTGGCATCGGTCGTGTTTGGGAAGGTGATTGGCGATGTTTTGCACAGGTTTGCGGGTAGCTGTCGTTTGTCAAGTCTTTGGAGCGTTCGCCTCTTGTTCGTCATGCCTTTCTCAGAGCCCCATTGGTACAATTATTGAGGCTCCTTTGTTCTTGTACCCTTATAGATCCCTTATGGTAACCCTTCTAGCCCGCTTTAAAGAAACCCTACAGAGGCTACAGCCCTTCGCCCTTCAACTTGCATGGTGCCCCTGTTCCCTCGCAGATCTTCGGGCTCTGCTTGGGCTCGTAGCTTTCGGCCCCCGGAGCTGAGACCCGACCCAGAATCAGCTGCGGCCTCCAACTTCGTCTAGGAAGGGGGTACCTTTAAAAGGATCTATAAGGGTTCCTTTAAGGGTTCCTATAAGGGATCTATAAAGGGTTTAGGGTTTGGAAGTTTCCGAAAATTAGGGGTACCTTTTTGTGGAGTCCTTATAATAAGGATCCTACTGTTCAGGGTAGTATATTAGGACCCCCTATTTTTCGGAAACACCCTCTTGGCACCGGAGGACGAAGCCTGAAGCCTGAACCCGACACCCAGGATGAGGAGGTGGTGGTGGTTCTGTATGCTGGAGGCAGGGGGTCTTGGTTTCCTTCGTGTAGTCTGTGCGTTTGGCAGGAGATGCGACACACACCAAAGCTAAGCTGTGCTTGCTCCCTCCACAGCAGCAACATTTTAGCCTCCACCGTTCACCCGTTAGTGTTTTGCGCTCATGTCGTGAACCCTTAGCGTTTTTCCACCTTAGTTCTCAGCATGATCGACCATCCAAGGATATTCTAGGCCTGTTTGGATTGCTGTAGATTGAGAGTCGACAGCTACAGCACTGTTTCAGTGCAGTTTGCCGCAGAACTATCCAGCATGGCATCCAAATTCAGCACTCGTAGTGCAGGCCGTTGTGCAGAGGATTCAGAGTTTTGGATTCAGGTCTCGCGTGTTCTTTCGAAGATTCACACCGACCCCCAGGCCCAATTGGAAACCCCGAGCCCCGAGGTTTAGCATGCGGATGTCCATGTTGTGCATGGGAGCTTGCTGCGCCGACTGGCGTGATGATGGTGATGATGGTGGCGGTGGTGGTCAGCATGCCGCTGATGATGATGACCGTGATTGCCATGATGTAATTTTAGAAGTAGCTCCATCACTACCAGGTGCCCACGCGCACTGCGTGGAGGAGTTCTGGCGTGCCCAATCCTTCACCAGTGACGACTTGCCCAAGAGGGGTCTCGACACTTGACATAAATCTTTGATCGTACGACATCAGCATGTGCTTTGGAGCTTGAGAGCTTGAACGTGGGTCGTTCATTTTTCTGACTTCTTGGGCTTCATGGGGTTGTTCCTTTTTTGTTTATTGGGTTTTGATCGGATTTGACTGGTTCGGCCATCCAAGCCCCAGTCACTTAAGCGTGGAGTCTGGCGGTCGCGTCATGTTAGTACTCTGTGTCTTTATCTGGGGTAGAGATGGGCATCCAGCATCCTTGGCTTTGTATGTCTGGATGCCGAGTAGTGTTGAAGGACAAACCGCTAATCTCAGAGAAATCGCTGATCCGCGTGCTCAAGACGTTGGTTTTTCAACAGTACTTGTCACGACCCTTGCATGCACACCAGAACTCCAGCCCCTCTCTATACTCCCAAAAAAAACCCACGAAGGGCATCCGGTACAAACGGCACGTCTCGGAGAAGCCCGAACCCACGCTGAGGTGGGGAAGGACGACTGGGATGACGACGAGCCTCGGGGGCTCGTGCTGCCCAAGTATCTGTACCTTGGCGTTTTTGCTCTTAGAGGGATGGGTTTTGCATGGGACTTTTTCGCAAACCGCAGCAAGCACCGACACCCCACAAACTAATGTTGAACACCAAAGCTGCACCACGGCCTGCAAGCTGCCATGCGCTCTAAGGCACGATTTCGACCTGCTCTTCCCGCAGGATTCGGGCGAGGCACACGCAACAGACGAGGCCATGTCGGACGAGGAAGCAAAAGCCCGCGAACTGTGCATGGGATCCGGTGAAGGGGTGTATCTAATGGCGACGATGATCCCGTCTGTCTACGACCAGGAGGAGGATGATGATTTTGGTGGTGGAGGTGATGAAGCTGATGCTAATGGTGACAGTGGTTGTGATGCATGATGCTGTTAATGATGAATGTTGATATGCTATATTGACGATGATGATGTGATGATGATTGGGAAGAGGACGTTGCTGAGGATAGTGCTGCTGCGATGACGACGATGATGATTATGATCACGAGATGCGGAGCATGTGGAGCTTGGTGCTTGACCGCAGTGCCTCTGAGCATTCTCAGCCGACCTCCTTGCTGTCCATCGCCCCGTGCTTTTCGCAGCCATGCGCGAGCTCGTGCACGTCCAGGGTGGCCAGTGCACCTCGGCCGACATCTGGAGCGCCCAAAACCATCCGAAACAGCTCAATGCTGCTGCAGGCGGCAACCAGATCGGTGCCAAGTTCTGGGAGGCCTTGCGTCTTCAACCGGCCCACCTCTCCAAACCTTCCATGCTCCTCCCAAGCTTCCCCACACCAAACCCTGTGCCCGAGCACCCGGTTCGGAACCCAATGCGCACATTTAAGGGCACTTTCCTCGGGAGCGGCTTGACATTCCGAGTGTCAGCCTGTTGAGACCTGAAACCTTAACGGGCAAAACAACTAGCTTCCGCTAGAGAGGACAGTGAAGTTTCGAGTCGAAGGCATAGTGTGCTGGTCCGCAGTTTCTGAATCGCAGGTTTGCGACTGTTGCATGTTGCATGGTGGAGTCAGTTGTAGAAACCAAGCTGGTCCTTTGTTGGGTCTTGCGATCTCGTGTACACGAGTCCGTCGATAGACACTGTGTTTGGCCCCGGAGTCTCGGGGAATGACACAGCATGTTGCAGGGCTTGCCATTGGGTGGTTGAAGCGTTGGTGACAGCTAGCTTCTGGCACTAGGTCAGGAACACGCTTGCTCTGAGGTCGGTGCCGAACCCCGAGCAACCGCAGAACGCAGTGCCCGCAGTACGTTGCATCCTGAAACCAAGTCTTTCAATCTCCATGACTGTCGAGATCCTAATACTTACTGCCGGTATGTTCATCGAAGAAACAGACAAGCATACAGGGTCTCTGAAAGCAGGTCATCGCCGACGAGCACGGCATTGACCCCACAGGCGACTCGGAGAGTGGCAGACCACTTTCTGAGATTCATGTTGCAATGCTCTTGAGACACTTAAAAGAGCTGCACTTCTCGGGGACTCCCACGGTTGGTTGAGGTAGGGCGCTTCGACTGTTTTTTCCTGTCTATCTGCATCTCTAAGTCACCTTTTTCGGCGCTGATCAGGACATCATGCGGATGCTCATTGCAGAAGCAAGCATGTGGGGCGCCTTGCGCATTTGGACAGCTTTTGCTGAATGCAGGCACCTACCACGGTGACTCCGACCTGCAGCTGGAGCGTATCAATGCTCCTGTGTTGCAAGAGTGCAGTCTGCGTCGAGTGTATGTTGAAGATTATCAGGCATCTGCGAGACATTGCATTCATGTGGGGCTGTGGCAAGGGCACACCCGGCAACTCAGGTGTACAGTTTGTTAGGGCCCCTTACCCGAACCCGCCACTCTTGTATTACCCGAGCTTTCGCTCCAGCCGCGTCTGCCGCTAACCCTCTACGGAGCTAGGTTGCGTGCAGTTCACCCATCATCAGGTGTACTTCAACGAGGCTACCGGCGGACGCTATGTTCCTCGCGCGGTCCTAATGGACCTTGAGCCAGGCCCATGCCTGCATCCGTGCATCATCATTCCTCATCCGATGCTTCCTTGTGCCAGCACTGCGTCTGTATTGCAGAGGGGCCTTAGTATTTGAATAGGGTTTTGGAGCCCATTATGCTATACTTATAATAAGGAACCCCAACAATAGTATTTGGGCCCCTATAGTAGCTTGCATCTCCATCCGCATGTTCGTCAGGAACCATGGACTCCGTCCGTGCCGGGCCTTTCGGACAGCTCTTCCGTCCCGACAACTTCGTCTTTGGACAGACAGGAGAAAGCGCACCAGGGGTACCTCATTTTGGGGTCCTATAAGGGTTCCTTTGAGGGTTCTATAGGGGATCTATAAGGGCTTAGGGGTTAGGGGTACCGCTACGTCCAACAGCCATTTCAAAAGAAACCTGCTGTGCAAGCCGATGGAAGTTCTGCTGCAGGAGCCGGCAACAACTGGGCCAAGGGTCGGGCACCTTGCGGCAAGCGTTGGGTAGAGTTCCATTGTCTTGGACACTTATCCGAAGACTTGAGGCCACTACACTGAAGCCCCGAGCTTAGCTTCGAGCAGCTCACCTCCGAAACTCAGGGCTTTTGGGTGCGACTCCTGCAAGCTGAGGGTGCAGAGCTCATTGACTCGGTGCTCGACGTTGTGCGAAAGGAGGCGGAAGGCAGCGGATACCCGACACCCTGAGAAGCTTCCGAGACTGTTCAGTCGTAACGAAGAGACCCGTCGTCTCATGTCTCTTAGACTAGCACCCGGCGCCCGACTTTTTTCCGACTGTGGACAGAAGGTTAGGCACAAGCCCTTTCATGCAGGCTGCGACTGCCTCCAGGGCTTTCAGCTCTGCCACTCGCTCGGTGGCGGCACCGGTGCCGGCATGGGAACGCTGCTCATCTCCAAGGTGCGAGCTGTGCAAGAGAGAACGGGTAGGGTACATGCAGAATTCTCTTCAGAAGCATTCGTGGGAGAATGGCGCAGCAGGTGCGAGAGGAGCACCTTGGATCGCAACCGCGGTGCTCAGGTGCAGGGGGCTGTTTGCAAGGTCTTTGTGGCCTCGACATGCATTAACATATTGTGAGCTTATGCCGTATTAGCATCCGTCCATCGATCGGTCAATCCATTGTTTTCAATCTAGGGCGAGTATAGTCCAGTCAGCCAGTAGATCACTGGGCCAATGAAGATAAACATAATCAATGAGTCAAGGAGTCAAGGAATCAACCAATGAGGGAATCGATGAACGAATGAATCAATGCACGATTCAATCAAGCAGGCAAGCAAGCCAGCCAGCCAGCAAACAAGCAAGCAAGCAAACAAGCAAGCCAGCAATCACTCTCTCCCTCTCTCTCACACGATCTCTGGACCAGTCTCTCTGTCTTTTGACTGCCTGTCTGTCCATCAGGTCAATATACATTGATCTGTAGTGCATGTCGTGTTTCAGGGTTTGCCTTGCTGGTGGCTTCCCGGGCCGACGAGGATAAGAGAGACTTTATTGTTCTTCGGACTTTCAGGTATCATGAACGATAACAACAAGCTGATGTCGCTCCAGCTTTTTGTTGGCTCGTTGCAATATGTAAAGAGCTCGGGGACAACATCCAGCAACATGCGTCCAAGGTACCCGGACCGCATCATGGAGACCTTCTCGGTGATCCCGTCGCCCAAGGTCTCCGACACGGTGGTGGAGCCGTACAATGCCGTCTTGAGCTTTCACCAGCTCGTGGAGAACTCCGATGAGTCCTTCCTGCTGGCCGCCTGGCAACGCGAATGAGACTGCTTGACAAATGCGTGCAGTGTATTCATGTTTCTAATCCAGCTTGTACAGACAGATCTTATCATTCCCCGTGCAAGTTCTGAGGACAACGAAGCGCTCTACGACATTTGCTTCCGAACGCTGTGGCCAGGCATCAAGTTGGGCCTGAACCCGTGGACCCCGATGCATGACAACGACACCTGCCCCAAACCCCAGAGATCAGGAACCAGAAGCTTTGTTCCTTGACGTGATGCTTAGCGGCTTAGCAATCCTAATGGAGGAATGAGGCCGGGGGATGGAACTTTCGCAGAGCGCACCAGGTCTTATCTAAATGCCAGGAAGGCCCTCAGATGAGTCAGTGTTGCTGACCAGCTGCCCAGGAAGCTGACGACGCCAACCTACGGCGATTTGAACCACCTGGTCTCTGCGGCCATGAGCGGCGTGACCTGCTGCCTGCGCTTCCCGGGACAGTGGCTGGGTTCATCAATGGTTTTCCTCTGACAATCCTGGCTTTTTGTTTGTTGCATGCATTCCCATGCGATGAGGCTGAACTGTGACTTGCGAAAGATCGCAGTCAACCTGGTACCTTTCCCACGTGGCTTGGAATGCGAGTATGAGGTTGACTGTTGGTTGCCCCGTACATAGTCCCCGAAGAAGCTCCACATTCGCAAAAGGCCTTGCGCCCGAACCCCGTCGCAGGCTTGCACTTCTTCATGACGGGCTTCGCACCACTGACCTCCCGCGGGTCGCAGCAGTACCGAGCCCTGACCGTCCCCGACTCGGAGAATGGGGGCTGAGCTGGAGGGCGGTCCTGGATTTCCGATGTGGATGCAGAAGGATGTTTGCAAAGTGACGTTTGCAAGCAACGTGTCCCGAATTATGCGGCGGCAGGTGCCCGAGCTGACCCAGCAAATGTTCGATGCCAAGAACATGCTTCTCGGCTCAACGCGTCCTAGCCGCTTCCTAGCAGCTTCAAGTCCTTGAGCCCGTCAGCTGTCGCGTGTCCCAGGATGTGCGCTGCAGACCCCCGCCACGGCCGCTACCTGACCGCGGCAGCCCTCTTCCGTGGCCGCATGTCCACGAAGGAGGCGACCAGAAGCCCGACAAGCAACATGGTGTCGGGTCGGAAACTCGCAGCAGTGGTTGCTCTAAGATGTGCTAGTTTCAAGTTCCTGGAGCACCGGGCATTACAGAATGGTTCCTTTGTCTCTGTTTCGCGAACTGTTTTTTGCAGCTGGGTTGCGTTGGAAACCTATCCGTTCACGCATACATGCGGATGATTGCGGATGTGGAGGAATTGCACGGGATGCACGGAAGCAGCTGGGGGTTTAACGCTTGTTCAGAGGTTGAGTCAGGTGGGCCGCGAGTGAGATACTTGAGTTGAAACTTCTGATGCTCCCTTCTACAGAACCAGTGATCATGTTTGTCATCATGTTAGCATGTTCAAGCGTAATATCTCTCGTGCAGTGAGCGTCGTCTTGTCCGGCAAAAATACCTGCATGATGGGGTGAAGACTTTGTCATCTTGCCCTACAATCATACCTTCAGGTGGATGAGCAGATGCTCAACGTCCAAAACAAGAACTCCTCCTACTTCGTGGCGCCTTGGCCGTCCTTGTGTCACAGGCACAATGCTTCGGATGCGTAGACGACGCACCGAAGTGGCTCCCGCGTGTCTGAGGAGTGGATCCCCAACAACATCAAGGCCTCCGTGTGCGATATCCCTCCGAAAGGCCGCTAGCCGCAGCGATTTGAGTGATGCGGCATCTCGCAGTGTTTGGCTTTCGAGTTGCAGCACGGGTCTTTCCAAACCGCTTAAGACGGAGCTTGAGAAGAGGCTCTAAAATTAAGCTGAAACACTCCTTTCCCAGCCCGTCATCGAACTTTGAAGAGTGGAACTCTCATCTGGTGCATAGACGATCATTGTTTTCCTCTATGACTGTAGAAAACGGCACATTGGGAGTGTGGGTGCTCCCTTGTAAACAGCCCTTCCTAGCGTTTCTTGTCCCGGCCGACGTTCTGTCGGTTCCGGCTTGCACAAACTCGGTGGCAGTGTTGATTGCAAATTCCTATCTCGACAGCTGCAGGTCTCAAGATGGCCGTCGCCTTTGCGGGAAACTCCACCGCCATCCAGGAGATGTTCAAGAGGCTGGGCCTTGCGCGCGTCATGGGATTTTATCATATCTTTTTGGGCTTCGCGCTGCCGGTGTCCTGCTTCATAAAGGTGCTCCCAGGCTGAAACCTGTGCTCCGCCCGATCCGAAAGCAGGAGCCATCCCGAGCCCCGAATCCCCAGTAAAGCTTAGATGGTCTTGCATGGTTACCTCAGATGAGCCCTGCCTTACCTCTTGTGATTGCGCATGCATCCCTCTCCAGCCGTTTTCTTTGGACCTTCCGGACAGGGTGGCTGAGTACTTCACGGCCATGTTCCGGCGCAAGGCTTTCCTGCACTGGTACACTGGCGAAGGCTCTTGCATGCGGTCATGAGCGCGAGGTGCAAGCAACAGCGGCAGAACCCTAGTCCCAACAAGCCGCAATCTCGCGGAGTTCGTGCGAGGACAGTATGATGTTAGGCTTATGTTTGCTTGATGGTGCTTGATGGGTGGTAGTGGTGAAGACCAAGCTACAAGATTCAACACGTGTACCCCTGCGAGCGTGCAGCGACAGCTTAATGATAGCTACTGGGTGGCCCAGTACCTGAGGATGAAGGGACCAGTTAGATAGAGTGCACGGGCTCCGGACGAGGGATCCAAAATGGAGCATCAATCTGATCTTACCGCGAAGCAGCATGAAGGAAAGCTGACACACTGCGGCACCTGGATGTAACCCAAGGGTTTGGATTGGAGCAGGGAAGTGGAACCGAAACCCGTAAACTGTTCTGACGTCGAAGACCCGGCAGGCATGGACGAGATGGAGTTCACTGAGGCGGAGTCGAACATGAACGACCTGGTGTCGGAGTATCAGCAGTACCAGGCTCGGCCACGAAGAATATCAGTCTCGAAATCCTGAGTGCAAGGTGTTGGACTCCACACTGCTTTCCAGTTGCGTTGGCTCTGCACGGCTATTCTTCCTATGCTCAAGAGCCTGATTTCGGTACGCTGCGCGGGTCATAGAAGCAGCCGGGCGGTGTCTTTCGGGGACGGCTGAATCCACCGGCCTTTCGTCTCAGTGCGATTCGTACCGGGTGTTTTGTAATTTTTGTAAGTCCAAGCCCCAAGTCCTGAAGCGCACGCTTCGGCCAGGATGCCACCGCCGAGGAGGAAGGTGGGCGAGCTGAAGTAGCACTGGTTCCGAGGACACAGGATTTCAGATGTGCACTGGGACTTAGCTTGAGAGCCCCCGGCCCCCACGTTGTATCATGTACGCGCTTGTGGCATCGGGCAACTGCCGATTTCTGCCAGGGTTAGCAGATGCTTGACTGTCTCGCGCATGATTGAATCTCTGTGTTACTTTGGGTGGAAAGTGACCCTGACCTCGCAGGTGAGTTTGACGAGGAGGAGGGCGAGTATGATGGATAAGCGCGAAGTGTCGCCGACCCATGCTCGTTCCGCCAACTTGTTCAGACCGATGATGACCTCGGCTGCACCCCTTCTCGCAAGAGGACGCAGCCGGGGGAATTCATTCCTGGCACGCTTTCAGGAAAATCCTGAAGGCAGGTCGAGCATGAAGTCACAGCAAGTTTCGCAGTTTGCGGGGCAGCGGGGGAAAAGCTGGTTTCTTCCTGTACACACGAGATGACAGTGCAGCTTGGATGTGATGCAGAGCCTGGACCGCAGCGTCAGCGTCTCTGAGAAGTCTCAAGTGACCACCTTGCAGTTCGCCCCCTCGCAGCCATGCGTGAGCTCGTGCACGTCCAGGGCGGCCAGTGTGCCTCGCTACGAATGCCTCGACCCCTAGGGGCTCTAGACGCTTTATGGGTCTGGTATGGTCCGGGGCTTCGTTGAGGGCCCGAGCCAGGGTCGTCGTACGCCTCCAAGTCCAAGGTTCAACACGAGCTCGGTGTCATACGATCTTTGTTTGTTTTGCTGGATTTTAAGTCCTGGGTGTTGAAAGGGAGCAGGGTCTGGGATTTGGGGGGGAATCTGTTTTCTTGCAGGAGGGCCTTAGAGAATAAGAAGCATGTGCAGAGGCGGCAACCAGATCGGTGCCAAGTTCTGGGAGGCGCCGTCAGTCGAAAAAAATTGCATGAGACTGAGGAAGATCATGTTTGCAGGATGCGTGCTTGACATGGCTCTGCTAGCTCGGAATCCCGAGTAAGTCCGCAACGAAAGTCTTTCTCGCAGGTGATCGCCGACGAGCATGGTATCGATCCCACAGGCGCGGAGCAGCAAACACCCAAGCCTCCAGCAACAATCAGTTCTCGCATGCAGCAACTCCTGTGAGCGCACCCCGGTGTCATCTGAGCTAGCTCGTAGTGGTCCAGTTCTGAAAGATGCGAAGCCTTCCAACCAAGGCCACTTGCCGGCGCAATGCTCAAACCCAACACGTTATAGAGGCCGTGAGTCGGGAAATCTTCAACTTGCAGGAACCTATCATGGCGATTCCGATCTGCAGCTGGAGCGTATCAACGTGTCTGTGCTGAACACGTGTGCGAGAGGCGCTTCCAGCCTTGTCTGTCTCTTGGAACCGCAGGGACAGCGATGACTTATGACAGCAGCTCAGGTGTACTTCAACGAGGCGACCGGGGGCCGCTACGTTCCCCGTGCGGTCCTGATGGATCTTGAGCCAGGCCCGCATGTCAGAGCTGGGTGGCAGTTGAGGGGTCATGGATGGCGGATGATGGCGGGCTGCATTGCTCAGTGTGTGCCACTTCGGCAGTGTGGAACCTGCGCTAGGAACCATGGACTCCGTCCGAGCCGGACCTTTCGGTCAGCTCTTCCGTCCCGACAACTTCGTCTTTGGACAGACAGGACAGAACGAAACAAGCTCCCAAAAAAGCCCACCCAAGCAGAATGTCATACGAGTCGTGCTTCAATGCTCTGATAGCATGCATGTGTGTCTCGTGAGGAGCTGGCAACAATTGGGCCAAGGGTCCGGCACCCGGTTGCGCGAGTCGCGAGTTGTTGCTGGTGGTGGTAGATGTGGTGGTGTTAGTTTTGCGATCGGGGATCCGCGCGCTTGCGTTTGTGGGTGAGGTCACTACACTGAGGCCGGGAGCTGAGTCTCGAGCCTGCTAGCTGCCTTTGCCACTTCCCTCGGATGCAAGTCGGTTCACGTAGCACCCGGGAGCTGAGGGTGCCGAACTCATTGACTCGGTGCTGGATGTCGTGCGCAAGGAGGCAGAAGGCGGCGGCAGGGTTTCTTCCCAAACGCTTCACACCTCTTGAACCAAGAGTTTGAGAGTATTGCTGCCCGGTAGATGTCGCCCCCTGGACTAAGTTGGCTCCGGAATTGCTAGCCGCTAGCCCTTCCCCGCACCACCAACAGAAACATTCGCGGTTTCCTTCTCGTACTGTGCTTGGTGCAGGCTGCGACTGCCTCCAGGGCTTCCAGCTCTGCCACTCGCTCGGTGGTGGCACCGGCGCTGGCATGGGAACTCTGCTCATCTCCAAGGTGGGTGCTGTGCAAGAGAGAGCGAGAACAGCACAAGCAACAAGGAAGGTTTAGATCAAAGCACAGATGTAGGCCTGCCCTGCGGGCATGCTCAAACCCAGAAGCGTGGAGCCTGTCCGCGACTTTCCCGCGTTTTTCTCTCAGGTGCGAGAAGAGCTCCCTGGATTGCGTTTGATGGACTGGAAACCACCGTCCTCCTTCACCTGATTGCTCATAAACACACAGTGACAGCTTCACGGGGGCGTGGCTTGTGTGGTCGCTTTCAGCAACCCCAAGGATTTGTCAGGGATTCGAAGAAGCCCTTGAAGTCAATTTTCCTGTGCTTGATGCAAGTCCAAGGTACCCGGACCGCATCATGGAGACCTTCTCGGTGATCCCGTCGCCCAAGGTCTCCGACACGGTGGTGGAGCCGTACAATGCCGTCTTGAGCTTTCACCAGCTCGTGGAGAACTCCGATGAGTCCTTCCTGCTGGCCGCTTGGAAATCTGAACTTCATCCTGAAAGACCTGCTGATGCTGAGTGCTTTTGCAGGGGGCAGTAGTCAGCGCTTTGCGAGTTCATCGAGTTTCAGTTGAGGACAACGAAGCGCTCTACGACATCTGCTTCCGAACGCTGTGTCCCGGCATGAACGTGGAACAGCGGCCAGCTCCAAACCCTATCGTCCCCACGGAGGCCCTATACTGGACCACAACCTGTAGGAAACAGTTCTTCATTAGGCAGTCAAGCAGTGAGGGTACAGAGAGGTGAGGGGAGAGAGTTACGAATGGATGAATAGTTACGAATAGTTGCTCTCCGACAAATACATAGTATATTAGCTTTTGTCTATCTACCTATCTATCTATCCATCTATCTATCCGTCTCTCTGTCTGTCTATGTATCTGGATCTGTCAATCTGTTTGTCTATATATCTATCTGTCTATCCGTCTATCTATCTATCTATCTATCTATATCTGTTTATCTGTCTATGTATCTATGTATCTATGTATCTATCTTTCTATGTATCTATCTACCTATGTAATACACATTCGTATGTATGTATGTATGTACGTATGTATGTATGTATGTATGTATGTCTGCGTGCCTGCATGTATGTATGTATGTATGTATGTATGTATGTATCGGTTTGCTGGTCACGCCAACTACTGTTCCCGTCGTATCAAAAAGGTCATTGAAATTTGCGGCAATTCGGGGCAATGGTCATGTCAGATCCGTGTTATGTCGGGCTGCATGGAGTCTCTGGTGAAGACTCTGTTGGTTTGAACTGCTCGCTCTGTCAGTCGGGCACTTTTCCTTCTTGGATGCATGCAGTTTGGCACTGCTCATTCATTGCTTCGTCGCGCCCTCCGTGTTTGGGTGATGCACTGCAGCGCAGGCTTGGTTGGCCCAGCGGTACTGCATGTGCTGAGCCGGTGATCTCGCATATGGCTCATGTCCGCGAAATGCTTCTCAGTCAAGCGCAGAAGAGGGGCTGGGTTTGTCAGGCGGGAGTCGTGGTGGTGTTGCCAGTATTCCTGCTGGCACTCAGCTCATGTGATGACGGATGTTTCTGACGGCGTCATTTTCTGCGTGGTATGGCGTCAATGCAAGTTTTACACACGCAAGGTATCCGGACCGCATCATGGAGACCGTTTTGGATGATCAATTGAGTGCGTGGGAGATCGGGTGGAGCACAGAGCCCATCACCAAGTCCGCTGCCGTAGAAGAAGGCAAGCAGCCGGCGTTGAGCCCTGCCTCAAGAATCAGCATTACGGCGCTTATCCTCCCTGAGGGCACTGCTGCAAGCAAGTGGAGGCTCGAGCCGGTTTTTGCAAGACCTGGCATGCAGCGCCGTGGCAAAGGCAAGGATGATGGGAACATGAGCCTGAAGGGTTGGATTCCTCAGCCTTCACGCGCCTCCAAGTGCAGTGATTGGCCTCCGGCTACTACGGCTGGTACTCCTCAGTCCTCTACGGATTCTAAGGGATCAGTGATTGCAAATGCCAGGGTGTCGAAGCTGAGTCCTCCTGAGCAAGCGCCCGGTTCAGGAACGGAAGGGGAGGGAAAGTTTGCTTGGCCGTGGCCTGTATGCTTCCTCAACATCAGGCGTCCCACGTCGCGACGCCTGTATGTTGCTAAGCGATACCATTTCTTTATCTTCCTGCCGAAGGTGTTGCACGACAAGGTTGAGGCGGCGGCCAAGGCTTGGAAGGACAAGTCCGAGCCCGGCAAGCCACACCTAGATGGCTGCTCGTGCACGACGGCTCGTCTCAAGGCTTTCTTGGGTGCGATTCATGAAGCCACGTCAAGCACCCCGCCGCTTCTTACGGCACCGGCCGCAGAAGAAAGAGGCTTTGGTTTTGCTGGTTGAGAAAGTGCGCAAAGCAGTGCCGAGGAGCTGTTCGTTGACGTTGCTTTGAGGATTGCGGGAAGCCGCGCGGCCGATCAGTCTCCCCGTGAACTGACATTGGTGTCGTCGGCACAAAGCCAAAACCTTCGCGGCGCCCTTGTCGCAACCACACAGCCAGGCGCGCCGTCAACCAACACGCGGGACATGCTGCAGAAAGTATGGGAGGTCCCGAGCTTACCGTCCTCATCGTCGCGGCGCTCGCGGTTGCTCTGCTTCCTGCTAGCCGCTGGAGCGTTAATGCGCTGGGAGGCGTTTGCTTGTCACGCGCCAGAGTGGATTGCGGATTTGTTGCACATGTTGCATGAATTCCGGGCCTTTCCCTCTTGGGCAGGTAAAGTCCTCATTGCGATAGACGGAGGGTCATTGAATCCTGACGATGATGATGATGATGATGATGATGCTCGCTTGCATGCTCTTCGGTAGTATGGTCTTCTTGTCAGGGGGATCATGTTTTCGCTCGCCCTTTATGTGCGATCGGCATTGCAATTGCTGCTGCTGAGCGTTTCGCTGTTTGCATTGCTCACAGGATCATATTTCAATCGGTGCCCCGCTGCCGGGTTGCAGCCTCATTATCCCAGCCCGCGGCCCCGAAGTGCTTCCACGGCCAGGCCAAGAAACGATCACCAGGTAATGCGCTGAGGCACCACAACGATGATGGTATGGAATGGAGATGTCCGCATGCTTGATGGAAGTCCCCTCCCTTCTCTTCCCTGCCCCACCTTGTGTTTTTCTCTTTTCCCCTCCTTTCGTTGTGTGCTTGTCGGACAGCGGTCCGTGGAACTGGCAGAGGCAAGGTGCAGCAAAAAAGTCAGTTGGAACACAAGATGATATTTTTCGAACAGTCTTATCACAGTCCTAATACGGGGTTAGGGTTTTAGGTTTTCATAAGGTTTAGGATGGTTTAGAGTTTTGATTGGGTTGAGGGTTCAAGAATAGGGTTTTCAGACACGCAGATTTGGTTGAGAACGCAGGCGGGCGTGTCAGACACGACTTGAGCTTCTTGTCGCTTGATAACAAGAAACGGATATTTTCTACAGTGGAAGCCACATGCGTGTGTGAGCAGAGTCAAAGACTGAGAAATATAAAAAGAAACAGCGAGAGAGAGAGACACCGCGACCCCCAAGCCCGGAAGAGAGAGAGAGAGAGAGACACAAAGCACGTTGGCAGTGACACCAGGGGAGCAGTGAGGCAGTGTAGTTTTCTATTTCTCGACGTCCTAGTTTTTGCAACGCCGCCGGGAGACCCGGCAATCCGTGTACAACGCCAGCAGACGCTTCAAACAAAAGAGAAGTGCACCAGACCGCTGCACCTTACCTCTTGAACTAAAACACACTCTGTAAATGGGTGGTTGTTGACGCCTTTGCTGGCAAATATACACCCCACACGGAGGCACCCAAGACGGCACCAATTCTTTCCAAGTACAGCCGAGCCCCTCCGTTGCAAAATCGTGGATGGGGATGCGCACATGCGCAGGGCAGGGGGACTGCCCCTGCTCCTTTCCCCGGAGCAAAGCGGAGCAAAGCAGAGCAAAGCAAAGAGAGAGAGAGAGGGAGAGAAAAAAGAGGATAAACTGCAGGGTTGGAGGGACGCGGCAACATGAGTCAGAATGTTTCATTCCTTCTTCCATTCTGTTTCCTTTTCTCACTTGTTCGTTCGTTCTCTCTACTTCCCTCCTTTGTCAATGCATTTTAGCCGGTGCCTCTGAGTAGTGACCAAGGAAGTTGACGACGCCAACTTACGGCGATCTGAACCACCTGGTTTCTGCTGCTATGAGCGGCGTGACCTGCTGCTTGCGTTTCCCGGGACAGTGGCTGGGCTCTCCAATGGTTTTTGCTATGGCTTCATGATGGATTGCTCCTACCGCTGGCCTGTTGTTTGAACGCGTCGTCTCGTGCCAAGGTTGAACTGCGACCTGCGCAAGATCGCTGTGAACCTGGTGCCTTTCCCACGTGGCCTGGAACGAAATCACTTGTGTTGCCCACCCTTGCGCCTTCACCCCACGCTTTCTGCGAACACTGCTTCTACAAATTCCGCAAATCCCGTTCTAATTGCAAATACTGGTTTTACGACAATCGCACGGTCCAGCATGTCAACCCTGGCCGCAGGCTTGCACTTCTTCATGACGGGCTTCGCCCCGCTCACCTCCCGCGGGTCGCAGCAGTACCGCGCCCTGACCGTCCCCGACTCGGAGAATGGGGAATGACGCTGGAGGGCCATCCTTGATTTCTCATGTGGATGCCACGGGATGTTTTGCAAAGCGAGTTTTGCAAAGCAACGTGTCCCGAGCTCTTTAGCTGCAGGTGCCCGAACTGACCCAGCAAATGTTCGATGCCAAGAACATGCTTCTCGGCTCAACATCTCCTAACAACTGCCTAGCAGCCCCACGTCCTTGAGTCCGTCAATTGTCGGAAGTCCTATATAGGATGTGCGCTGCGGACCCCCGCCACGGCCGGTACCTCACCGCGGCAGCCCTCTTCCGTGGCCGCATGTCCACGAAGGAGGCGACCAGAAGCCCGGCACCCGACACTGGAACTGTTTGGGACTCCTACTAGGAGAGATGCAGAGCCTGTCATAGATTTCTGACTTGTGCATTGCTCGTGCCTTGATTAAGATGTTGTGACAAGACGCTTGGTGCTGGGATTCGTCTATGTGGTGTGCAGTGTTTGGAGGCTTGTTCATTTTGAGCGGAACTTTGCCAGTTCGACTTGGCTGCGTTTTGGGCATGTTAAGGATTGCATCAGTCGTTTTGCATCGGCTCGGGACACATGTGAAACATGAGGCGTTCCTGCACGTTGTGCCCCACATCGTGCGTATCTCTTTGTCTTTCTCGCGCTCCAGAGTTTGCGGGCGTGATCTTCGATGCGATGGGGTGAAGACAGCGTTATCTTGCCCTACAAGCATACCTGCAGGTGGATGAGCAAATGCTCAACGTTCAGAACAAGAACTCTTCCTACTTCGTGGTGTCCTGGCTGTCTTGGCATGTGTGTGCGCGGGGCAGTCGGGGTACGACTGGGATTTTGCAGACGCATTCGGGAAGCCGGATAAAACACAAAATGGCGAGGCTGAGCCCAAAAGCGAATGGAAACCCGGATCCTATGGCGAACCGCAAGTAGTTTCACTGGATGCACCGCTGATGAGCCGGAGGAGTGGATCCCTAACAACATCAAGGCGTCCGTGTGCGATATCCCTCCGAAAGGCCGCTAGGCAGCGAGAGGGAAAGCTGAAATGGTGGTACGTCGGTCAGCATTTGTTCATGTTTTGGTTTTGCAGTAGGGAGCCAAGCAGCCTGAAGACTGTCAGTGAATCTGACGCAAGTCTAGCCGATCTTCCCAGCTTGAAAGGATTGAAAGGTATTGCCGTCTAGACGCTTGTGAAAAATCATGTATCCAAAAGCGCTGACTACGATTGAGGCTCCTTCAATTTCGGGTAGACATGTCGAGTAGACATGTTCGAAAATGGAACGAGCGATGCTAAAAGGGCTCATGCGAGCTAACGGAGAAAGTCGCGCCGTTCGAAAGGCGGTTAAGGGTTCAGGGCCAGGGTTCCAGTGATATCACGATGCTCTGTGCCAGCGCTGGCAAGACCGAGATTCTGTTCTGAGGGAGCTTCGCCAACCAATCTTGGGGAGCAATGACTCAGATGCAGCGAACTCCGACTTCGTTCCAATGCACAGATTGTTAATGCGTGGTGTCGTTGCATAAGGAGGCCTCGCTCTGGATACGGCTGAACAGAATTGATCCAGAGTTCGAGCTTTATGAGCACGTTCTTGGTTTTAGGTATTTGCCAATACTTGTTCATCCAAAGGCGCATTTGCTTCGTCCTTCGTCTTCGTCTCCGACAGTTCCAGGTCTGAAGATGGCAGTCGCCTTCGCGGGAAACTCGACCGCCATCCAGGAAATGTTCAAGAGGTGCCTTCGGGTTTGCAACTGTCAGGGACTCAACGTACAGGTTTTTCAGTGCGCGCACGCGCCGTTCTGTCTTGCCGCTTCGAGTTCGACAGTCCGCGAAGCAGCACTTACTTTGATCGCTCTCGGAAGCCTCTCTGCCGGGCAGGGTGGCCGAGTACTTCACGGCCATGTTCCGGCGCAAGGCCTTCTTGCACTGGTACACTGGTGAAGGCTCGCTCGAACAAGGGGCAGCGGGCTGCAGTGCCAGCAAAAGCAAGAGCCCTGGAATCCTGAAACACGATTGTCAAGCGGCCCATGAGAGAAGGTCAAAGTTGCTTGCTGTCAGATAACAACTTGTGCCTGCATCTCACATTTGTGACCGACAGACACCAACTCCTGGGACACTTTTCGTGCGTAGCTGTGTAATGCCATCTCTCCTGCTTGGAAGCTCTGCGGTTGAACTTACGGCTTGGATGTGCATTGTCGCCTCCAAAACAACACATCCTTGAGCCAAGGGAGCAGAAGCAGGAACAACACTGGGTGGACGAAACCATGCAAATCCTGCCCCTCTTTTCCTCACTGCGGCAGGCATGGACGAGATGGAGTTCACGGAGGCGGAGTCCAACATGAACGACCTGGTGTCGGAGTATCAGCAGTACCAGGCGTGCACGAACCGCTGTTTGTTGGCAGTGTCATAGACCTTGGCAGCACCCTAGTGGAGGGACATAGACAAGCATGCGCAGTTCAACGTGGCTCGGGGGCTTGGGCATGTCAGTTTGAGAAGAACAATGGACGAGAGGCGCTTGCATCTGGCACCTGCAATGTAAACCAGACTCTCACTGATTCGGTTTTGGATCAGGATGCCACTGCCGAGGAGGAAGGCGGGTGAGCAAATTATTGAAGTTGCACCGATTCTAAGACACATTTTCAGGGGTTTGGAACCCTTACAAATGTGGGCAAGCTGGATAGGTTGCGGAGGTTTGCCAGCTTGTTGTGAGAGTTGCCTTCTCTTTGTGGGTTTTGCCCTGAGTGCCCTGACCTCGCAGGTGAGTTTGACGAGGAGGAGGGCGAGTATGATGGATGAGGGCGAAGTGTCCGCGACCCATGCTCGTTCCGCCAGACTGTTCAGAACGATGATGACCCTGACTGCGGCCGAGACCGCAAGGGGACGCGGCCGGGGGAATTCATTCCTGGCACGCTTTCAGGAAAATCCTGAAGGCAGGTCGAGCATGAAGTCGCAGCAAGTTTCGCAGTTTGCGGGGCGAGAGCGAAGGAAAAACCAGCCCTGCATTGCAGTCTCGACCGGCTCCAGACTCTAGACCCACTGTCGCGTTTCCCGCAAGATCCTGCAAAGAGTGCCTGCTTGTCTGCAGCATCTCAGAGAAGTCTCGAGCGACCTCCTTGCCGTTCATCGCCTTCCGTTTCTCGCAGCCATGCGTGAGCTCGTGCACGTCCAGGGCGGCCAGTGCGCCTCGCCAAAGCCCAGAAGCCGACGGAGTCTGTTCCGGGCTTGAGGTTAAAAGAATTCTACAAAAAAAGGGGGCTTGCATTCAAACTCTGGGGTGCGTGTTTCAGCTCCTCTAGAGTCAAGCATTCTCCGCAACGAATGCAGAAGGGTTTGGGAGGGCCCTGGCACGTTTTTGAGGCGGCAACCAGATCGGTGCCAAGTTCTGGGAGGTGCACAGCGTTGCCGGCTTCTTGCAGGATTCAGCCGACAGCTGGAATGTAGTGGCCAAGTTCCTGCAGCTCAATCTCATAGAGATCCAGACAGCTTTGTTGAATATGTGCTGTGCAGGTGATCGCCGACGAGCACGGAATCGATCCCACAGGCGGGAAAACAAAGCAAGCACGCAAGCCTGCCCTCAGCAGCCCGTTTTCATGGCTTTGGTGCAGAGACAACGGCAGCCCTCCCGAAAGACCGTTCCGAGCCCAAACCTTCCAATCGAACCAACGAAAACCTTCGTTTAGTCGTGTCACTGGCCGTAGCGTCGCCAAGGCAGTCACAGTTAAGGTTGCTCCCTGGGCTTCCGAATTCAACTGCCGTGACAGAAGTGCAGCTTGTGCAAAGCCTCATGCAGCCGAAGCTGGGAAGTGATAGATATTGATCTGTGTTGTACACAGGAACCTATCATGGCGATTCCGATCTGCAGCTGGAGCGTATCAACGTGTCCGTGCTGCATGCGTGTGCGAGGGGCGCTTCCAGCCTTTTCTGTTTCTTTTTTGTCTCGGAGGGCCAGCAATGATAACGGCTCAGGTGTACTTCAACGAGGCGACAGGGGGCCGCTACGTTCCCCGTGCGGTCCTGATGGATCTTGAGCCAGGCCCGTGTGTCAGTGCTGGGTGGCAGTTGAGGGGTCATGGATGGCGGATGATTGCGGGCTGCATTGCTCGGTGTGTGCCACTTCGGCAGTGTGGAACCTGCGCTAGGAACCATGGACTCTGTCCGAGCCGGACCTTTCGGTCAGCTCTTCCGTCCCGACAACTTCGTCTTTGGACAGACAGGACAGAACGAAACAAGCTCCCAAAAAAGCCCACCCAAGAAGAATGTCATACGAGTCGTGCTTCAATGCTCTGATAGCATGCATGTGTGTCTCGTGAGGAGCTGGCAACAATTGGGCCAAGGGTCCGGCACCCGGTTGCGCGAGTCGCGAGTTGTTTCTGGTGGTGGTAGATGTGGTGGTGTTAGTTTTGCGATCGGGGATCCGCGCGCTTGCGTTTGTGGGTGAGGTCACTACACTGAGGCCGGGAGCTGAGTCTCGAGCCTTCTAGCTTCCTTTGCCACTTCCCTCGGATGCAAGTCGGTTGACGTAGCACCCGGGAGCTGAGGGTGCCGAACTCATTGACTCGGTGCTGGATGTCGTGCGCAAGGAGGCAGAAGGCGGCGGCAGGGTTTCTTCCCAAACGCTTCACACCTCTTGAACCAAGAGTTTGAGAGTATTGCTGCCCGGTAGATGTCGCCCCCTGGACTAAGTTGGCTCCGCAATGGCTAGCCGCTAGCCCATCTCCGCACCACCAACAGAAACAGTCGCGGTGTCCTTCCCGTACTGTGCTTGGTGCAGGCTGCGACTGCCTCCAGGGCTTCCAGCTCTGCCACTCGCTCGGTGGTGGCACCGGCGCTGGCATGGGAACTCTGCTCATCTCCAAGGTGGGTGCTGTGCAAGAGAGAACGAGAACAGCACAAGCAACAAGGAAGGTCTGGAACAAAACGCAGATGTAGGCCTGGAGTGCGGGCATGCTCACGAAAAGCGGAAAGCCTCAAAGTCTCTCAAACCAAGAAGTGTGAAGCCCCTCAGGTGCGAGAGGAGCACCCTGGATTGAGTTGGATGAACGTTTCCTTCGCCTGATTGCTGGCTTGTGTGGTCGCTTCAACTGTTGAGGTTTAGCAACCCCAAGGATTTGTCGGAGATTCGAGAAACCTCTTGAAGGCAAGTTTCCTCTGCTTGATGTAAGTCCAAGGTACCCGGACCGCATCATGGAGACCTTCTCGGTGATCCCGTCGCCCAAGGTCTCCGACACGGTGGTGGAGCCGTACAATGCCGTCCTGAGCTTTCACCAGCTTGTGGAGAACTCTGATGAGTCCTTTCTGCTGGCCGCTTGCCAGGGTTAACGCGCTCGTGCCAGCGTGCACAGGTAGGTTCAACATCAAGTACAATCATCATCCGTTTGTCTTGTAAACCTCTTGCCCAAGAGGCCGCCTGCCATGCGTCCCTAAGGACAACGAAGCGCTCTACGACATTTGCTTCAGAACACTGTGCTCCGGCTGTAGCTTTACGAACTCGTCGACTTCGGAATGCAAGATCTAGGTCTATGGGCTTAGGACGAGGAGTAGGACATTTTTCAGAGGAAGGAATCAAATGATATAAGTGTAACTATGAGGTACTTCTCGGACATGTATGTTTGTATATTAGATCCACAATCAAAGTTCAGTTAACTAACCAACCAATCGTGCAAGCAAGCGGTCAAGCAATCAAGCTGACAAGTATTCAATCAGTCAGTTAGCCCATCAATCAAACAATCAGTCGATCCACGAAAATGAAGTCAAATTAAGATACAGACTTTAATTGTGTCAAGTCAAGCCTAGTCTATCTATGTATACCTATGTGTCTATCTGACTCTATCTATCTACCTGTCTATCTACATATCTACTTCTCTACTTACCTACTTACCTATCTGCCTACCCAATTGTCTACCTGGCTATCTCCATGCACCCATACATCTATCCATCCACCTATCTCACCAACCGTCTATCCATCCATGCATCCATCTATCTTATAATATGCATCTAATCTAACTGTCCATCGAGTTGTCTATCTCTCTATCTCTCGATTTCTCTGTCTCTCTGTCTATCTATCTGTCCGTACCTGTATTTTTGTAATTACAACACATATGTCTACATGTAATCATGTACATAAGCATGTACATACATCGTGCACGTGCATCTGCATACGATACGTTTATGCATACTTAGCTGTAGTAGGTTTATGCCTTTCAAGGGACGACGAAGCCAATGTACGGCAATGCACGCCAAGCCAAGCCATTTATAATCAGAACTGTTGATTTTGAGGCAAAACGAATCCGCGCGCGCGGGTAGCGAATAGCAAGTTTTGGGCGCGTGGGGCGAAGACATACATCCAGACAAAACTGAGCGACCGCCATTGGGAATGTCGGTGACCGACGCCGCTCAAATTGCAAGGATTCGCCCTGACAAGTTACAATCTCAAGCAAGATTTCTGAGTGCTTGGATCACTCATGATGCTTCACAAACTGTTAGCACTGAGAACAGACTTAAAAGAGCCAAGCTTCTCTGGACCAAGCTCTGGAGACAAGCCTACAGACTCGCGCTCCCTGCCAAGACGATGGGCCAGCTCTGTCAGTCTACGGTTATGGCTACATTGCTTTATAGTGCGGAGGGTCGGGCTTTTACAAAGAAGGAGATCAAGCGGATGCAGCCTTTTGTCAATCATTGCACGCTTGGTATGCTAAACGTCAGGCAACGTCATATGCATGACGACCAAGTCACCATGGTTGATCTTCGCCGCCGCCTCGGTATACGGTTCGGTCATGTCGCTCGTCTACCGGATGAACGTCTCGAAAAACAAGTGCTATGGATGTGGCATGAGCTACATGGACCTGGAAGACGCTCACGTCGTAAAAGCTGCCGGGGCACCATCGACACTGCTCCTGGACTATGGGCTGTTTTACAGGACATGCAACAGACGCTGGGACTCCCCGCGGACACTTGGGATACGCGGTGGATTTTCCGAGCTCAGTCCGACGGTGGTCGCCAATGGCGTTCTGACCTCCGCACCTGGCAGAAACGTAACGAGGCAGCAGAGGATACGGACAAATGGCAAGTTCGTCATGCACCTGGGGGCCGAGCTGAAACACAGGCACAGCAACAGGCTCGCAGAGCAGCGGAGCGGGCGAACCTACAGCAAAACGAAGCGGGCCTGTACTGTTGCCCACATTGCAACGAACCTTTCGCGGCCAATCGCATTTGGATGCATGTGCGCAGCTGCTCGCTTCTGACGCCAGCTCAGCGTGAGCTGTCTCGGGAAGCAAGGCAACGCCGTCTACGTCGTCTTCAAGCTCTCCACGCTCCTGTACAAGCCGCCCCAGCCCCCGTTCCAGATGCTCAGCATGTTCTTCGACGAGTCCGAGGGAAACAGGCCCCACGTCCAGACTTGGTTCCTGCTCCGGCTCCGTGCGCTCCAGAATTTTTTCGGCGAGTTCGCGGTAAATAAGCTGCTCCTCGGGGCGCTCCAGAACCTCTTCCACCACCTCCGGTACCAGCGGCTCCACGTCGACCACGTCGCAAACCCAGCGAACAACGTGACGCACCGGACAGCCGCAACAAACGGAAAGCAGGTATTTCAGATTTACCAGCATGGTGGGAACGCGACCCAGGCCTACCGACACGCATGTGCCAATGGTGTCGTACGATCGTCGCCAAGGGGGCCGTCGCCAACCACGAGAAGCTCTGCAAGGAGATGCCCTACAATACCTGGCTTCGAGGCATTCGGATGCTACGTGCAGATTTACAAGCCGACGTTCGCTGTCGTCAATGCTGTACATGTTTTCTCGAGGCCATGGGATGTGCACGTCATGCTCATGAATGTCGTCTGCGTCGCGTTAAAGCAGGGCTTCCGACGGACACTGGCGAGTATCACGTGTTGCCTCCCATTGCTCAAGTCGCTATCGCTCGAGGTACATGCTGCCTCCGCACGAGCGCAAGAACTGGAACCAGCTGCAGTAGCGGCTCGGTCTAAATATGCTGAAATTGTTGAACGCGACCCGGCACATGTCGTATCACAAGAAGTTTTACAAGCCTCTTGCTGTGATGCTGAGACTGGCATGCCTTGCACTCGGTGCCGCAGTTGCCAAAAATGCCCTGAGCACAGATGCTGGGGGGCACGCGGTCGGTGCAAGCAGTGCAGAGCTTGCTCACGAGCTCTCCTGGCAGACTCACTGGTTTACATGTGACTACATTGATTGCTTTCTGCTTTTGGTTCGAGGTGCGGAAGTTGAGTTGCTCAGTGTCTTCTTCTTCGTCTGCTGATGGCGGCGCTTGAAGCGGCCTTACAGCTGGCCTCTGGACAGAGACAACCGAAGCAGGCCAAGAATGAAAAGGGAAGGGCAAAGGTCCGGATGGAAATTCGTGTGAGGACGCGAGCAATTCGGGCCTGCTAAGGGATACATTGCGTTTGACGCGTAAAAGTCAACAGATGATCCGCTCAGCCTTTGATGCTACGACGAGTGCAATTCTCTACTGCAAGGAGGATGATAAGCAGGAGCTGTCCAACTTGATGAACCAGTGGTTTGAGCAACTCCCCAAGTGTAGTGAGCAGCAGATCAAGGACCGCATCTTTCCTGAGCATCCCATGAAATTGAGCCGCAAAGGCCTTGGAGTGCAGTACGCTGTCAAGATCATGGCTAAGGCTAAGCCGGCAGAAGACTCTGTGATGAACGAGCCTTGGTCAGTTCTCCAAGATCTACCACCTGAAGAGATGGACCTCCAGATTCAAGACTGCAAGCCGAAGTTCCGCCAGTCCAAAGATGGAAGGAAGTGGCTCTGGCACCTCTCGCTCTCACCCGTGGCGACGTCCGAGATGCGAGTTCATTTGGCCGCCCTTATGAGCAAGAACGCCCAGTAGAGTTCCTCCCAGCTCTCACGATGCAGTCCCAGCTGGAGACAGATCTGTGGCGCAAGCTGCGGGTCTGATTGCTCGGGTTGATAGATGCCTTCACACCCCAAGTAATTGCAGGTGACTTCAACGCCCAACTGTTCGAGCCGGAACCGACTGCAGACGAGCCACCGGCAGGCGTCGTAGGCCGGTATCGGCCGCCATGCAGACATCAGTTCGACGAGGTTGCCTTCGATAAGGTTCTAGGTTTTGGGGATTGGGTTCATGCGGATAGCTTCCGTCCAGCACTTGGCAATCGTCACCGGTGCACATGGTACTCAGCCATGCACAAACAGTGGTATGAGTTGGACTGGATGCTTGTGCCCAGGCGCCACCTTGCGAGGGTGGCCAGCATGACGCTTAGGCATGTCACAGACCCGCTGAACACGCAACATTCCGCGAAAGAGTACATGTTTCGTCTAGAACAGAATGGCCGGCGCCGGGCTCATGCGGCACGCCCTGAGCGACCGGACTTGCAGGTCTTACGAGACACTTCTGATGCAGCACGCGAAGCACGTGGCACCCTGGCTACCAAGGTTAAAGTGGAGCTGGCCGCTTTGCGACAGAACTCTCCACAGGTCTCCTTCTCCGACTTTAAGACGGTGGTGGCTCGGCAGACCTTGGCGGTGTGTGGTCCAGCACAGCGTTCCTGTCGGAAGGCCTGGCTCCGAACACGTGAGGCCCAAGCCAGACTAGCCCCACTGGCGCGCCGCTGCTCGACCATTCGACGACAGAAACGTGCTTTGACGCGTGAGACGGAACCGGACCAGAATAATGAGGAACAGATTGAGGCTTTGCGACAGGAGCATAACCAAATCAAGAAACGGCAGCGACAGATTCAGCGTGAGCTTGAAAAAGCACACTGGGCGGAGATTTTGGCCTCCCACCCCACACAGGAGGCCGACTCCTTCCAGTTCTTCAGGACATTGCGCTGCATTCAACAAGGCGGGCAAGTCAAAACAGCGCGCCAGAACCCTTTCGGTCCCTCGGAGTGGAAAGAGCATTTTGCGAATATCAGCTCCGAAGCAGAATTCCTCAGTGATGAGATCCGGCAGTTCGTGGACGCCCTGCCCGTGTCACCAGCACTTAGAGAGGCGTCGGCTCGCCTTGATGCGGACCTCACTACTGAGGAGATCCAGAAGGCCGTTCGCACGCTGCGCTCAGGCGCAGGAGGAGGTGATGATGTCCCTCCAGTGGTCTTCAAGGCCTTGTTCGCCGACAACCAGTTGGCTCAAGACATTGAGCGCTTCGTGCGGCAGCTTTGGAACACCCCAGCAGCAGAATGGGAAGCAAAAGGACTTGATGGCCCTGGCCTTCAAGTCCCACTCTGGAAACAGAAGGAGCCGTTCAACTCAATGGACAAATGGCGTGGCGTTGTCCTTCTCCGGGTTGTCCCTAGGGTTCTTGCTAGGATTGTGAATGCCAGGGGCCAGACGTGGTTTGAGAGTTCTGCGATTCCCCTCCTCCTCCCGGAAAGCTTCGGTTTTCGCAGAGGCTTAGGCACGGATGACGCTCTCTTTATGGTTCGCAGGTTGGACGAGGAAGTGTCGGCTTGGCAGAGCTTCGGCTGGCAGGGAGCTCACTACGAGGCCGGCTTGATGGATCTGCAGAAACCCTATCCGACAGCCAATAAGCAACCTTTTTTCTACATCCTAGCACACCACGGTATCCCCGAGCAGGGACCGTTCACAAATGCGCTTCGCGGCTTCCATTGCCACAGATCCTATAAGGTTAAAACTGGCCCTGACCCCTCTCCTGCTTCCTTAAGTGACCCTTACAAGCCGAATAGAGGGTTTGGCGAAGGCGACGGCACTAGTCCCTGCCCATGGAATGTGTTGTACAGCGCTGTAGTTCGCTATGCGCAACAGAAGCGTAGGGAGCAGGCCGCTGCACGCGGCCTACCCTGCGGCATCCCATGGCGGTGGACGCCGGACTTGTGCTTGCCATCCAATTGGACTCGTAAAGCAGACGACAGGACCACAGAGCACCTCGTCGTGGAAGCGACCATCTTTGCGGATGACACGACCTTGCATGGCACTCGCCAGGAGCTTCATGAAGCCGACCAAGCAGGACCCTCGGGCATGGACGAGTTTTCGGCCGCAGTAAGCGCATGGGGTTCAACAGAACATGCTGGGAAGCGTGAAAAATACGTTTACGGCAGTAATGACAATATCTGCCTGGTAGGTGGTGGAATGGGTCCGCAAGAGGCCGTGTCCCGAAACATCCGCCGAGGCATTGCCTGCTGGAGTAAGCTTAGGCCTGCGCTTAAGGGTTCTCGATTGTCTCAGAGGCTGTTAGGGCGTCTTTTGATGACTTTCGTGTATAGCCCCCTGGCTTACTCAGGCAAGACTAGATCTACCAGAAAACGTGATTATGTTAGGATGCAAGCGGTCATGAACACTGCCGTGCGATATGTTTGCCGCGCCCGCCTCACCAAGATGCGTGAGACAGACACGAACCATAACGACCTTCGTGCTAAACTGGAGATTCCGCCGGTGCAAGCGGCCCTTGAGAGAGACCAAATGCGTTGGCTTTGCCACGTAGCCCGAATGCGGTCAGACGACCCGCGCTCGCATGCCCGCAAGTTCGCCAGAGGGACAATAGATGTAGGACACTTCCAGAAGACACACTCCCGTGCAGGCGGACGCATCACCGCGGATCGACGTAGCCTTCCTGATCGGTGGGTGGAGCTCTGCCACCGACATGGCTTCCATGAGGATGAAATCCAGCAGAAGGCCTCCGACCGATCGGCTTGGGAAGCACTACTGCAGAAAGGTCTCGCTCAGGCGGTGTTTCAGGATCGTCAAGAGTCCAACCACCACCAAGGAACTCTTGAAGACCCAGGTCTGGCACCTTGGGCACGCCCTGCCGGCAGAAGACAGCGATCTCCAGAAGCTCATGAACGCCGATTGCAACTACAGCGCGAGAGACGGGCCGCAGCTGCAGCACAGCCTCCGGGCAATCGTCCTGCGGCCCGTCGCCAAGGAGGAGCAGCTGCACCCGCTGCGCCTGCACCTAAACCACTGCCACGACAAGTACAGCGGGCACAGGCTCAGAAGACCTATTATTCAGGACAGCATCAGCGTCGTGTTACCGCTGCCGAGCGGGAGCAATGGCAGTTTAGGTGCGACTACCCAGGTTGTGGCTTGACGTTTGAAACAGAGCGTGCCTTGAACATTCACAAAGGGAAGGCCAATAAGCCTAACGGCATGCACTCGCAGCTGTAGTTGTCTTAGCTTCCGACTCCTCTCGTCCCTCTGTCTCTCTTTCTGCACTCCCACTCCCTCTTACGGTTTTTTCGTTGCTTGCACAGTGAGGGAGACGATCTGCCACTCTTGCGACACATTCACGTAGGCTCAGGACCGCTGGCACCCCTTCGCGGGGCAGGTCCTGGGAGTGGCGAGGAGGCCAGTGCGCTCCCGCGCGGAGCGGCCTCCTTTGGTGTCCCAGCTCAGTTGACCATCGGATCTCTGATGAGTTTTGACGCTCAAGGGCCTTGACAGGTAGGTGCACTTAGCCTCCCCCCTTCTCAGCCGGAGCCATGCCAGAGCGTGGACAGCAGCCTAAGAGGCCGCGCCGCGAAGCCGCGGGGCAGGGCAGGGGGAACGGCGGTCAGCCGAACAACACCGTGCAGAGACTTTTGTGCGCTCACGACTCGGCCATCGAGAAATTGAAGGCCGCATTGGTTATCTTCCTTTTCGTGCCCAAAGCCATGAACGACGAGGTGGAGAAGGCCGCTACGATGTGGAAGGACAAGAACGCACTCTGATGGATGCAGCTGTACGACGGCACGCCTACGCGCCCTTCTGGAGGGAATCGACAAGCTCATGGGAGGCGAGCAGCCCATCTTGACTGCAGAGGCCGAGGTGAAGACAGCGCTTACTGCGTTGGTGGCGGTGGTCCAGGCAGGCCGGGCAGATCACATTGTCTCTGACATCACACTGCGCATCGCCCAGTCCCGGACCGCGGACCAGAGCCCCTATGAGATCACGATTGCCAGCACTAAAGAGGGCATGAGCTTTCGCACGGCTTTGTTCGGCATAACTCAGACGGGAGCACCGCAGACCAATAGTCGTGAGGTGGCGCTTAAGAGCTGGGAAGTGCGGCCCTACCGCCCCAATCGCCGGGGCGCCCTGGTTCGCGAGCTTACTGGTGGCAACTAGCTGAGACGCGGGGAGCGCGGCTGAAGTCTCGCTCCCCCCCCCCCAGCACCAGTGTTAATGCATTCGCTGTGCTCGTAAGCAGCGCAGCAGTTGCGGCCTCTGGCAGATTTGTATAGGTCTCGGGTTTAGGGGCCCGTGGTTTTGTTAGGTCTGCCTTGGGTTGCATAGTTCCCGTTTTTGCCATTTCCAAGCTATGTTTTGCAACGCCTGGCTCTTCGGAGCTTCGAGCGACATCCATCCATCCATCTTCCGAACGCTGGCTCCGCCTTCGTGGTTCACAGTCCTCCTCGTTGGGCGGCGGAGCGGACGACCAACGCCAGCTTTGAGATACTGAGGTTGTGATGGTCGGCAAAGGCGCAGGTACCTTGTATAGTTACTTTCAGCAACCTGCCAGCGGCATCGCCGTGCCACGTGAGCCAGTTCTTCAATGTTCTCCTATGGGGGTGGGGGGACTTGCTGCGTCCCCACCCGTCTCTAGCAGCTCAGCTTTCCAGAGTTTCAGTGGCCCATTGGAGCAGAACAGTGCTACTGTGGTTTTCCCCATGGATGTTACCAATGATTATTCCAATGTTTTTTCGGTGCATGTGCAGAGTGTTCGCAATCGCAAGCGACGGGAACGTCATCACAGACGTTTAGAGAGACAGAGTTTTGAGGATCGGGCGCGTAAGCGCCGCATGCTTTGGAACAGGCATCAGAGAGAGCAGCGAGTGGCAAGCAATCAGGAAGCGGAACGGCCTTTGCTGCCCGCGATGGGGGTTGAGCCCGTTGCTGGCTGAGTCCGCTTGGGATCCATTAACATGGAGAAGAGTAACCCTGACAAGCTAGAGAGCCTTGTCCGCCTCGCGGCGAGCTACGGCTGGGAGGTGACTGTCGTCTCGGAGTGCTCGACTACGGCACGGACCTCGCGCAATGCCCCCGCTGTCAATTGTCGCCGTTGGAAGTGGGAAGGATGGGAGTTGATACACACCGGCATGGTGGGGATTCTACTGTCGCCGGCCTGGAGTGCAGCTTGGCACAAGTACGCGGCATCCAAGCGCCGATCTGCCTCCGGACGTGTTTTGTCCATTGCATTACCGAGGGATCCAGACGAGTGCTGCGTGACTGCCGTTGAACCGTGGCTTGTCACGGCAGTTTGGGCTCCGGTGTCTACGTCACCGGAGGAGGAAGTCGCAGCGTTTATGAGTGTGGCGATCTTGATGAGCCTTCTGGCATTTTGGGGCGCTACCGACCGCGTCACCGACACATGCTGGACGAGTTCGCGTTTGAGCGGGTTGCTGCCATGGGCGACTGGGTCCAGGCCGACAGCTTTAGGCCGGCTTTGGGCAACCGACACCGGTGCACTTGGTTTTCCGGCATACACACGAAGTACTACGAGATTGACTGGATGCTTGTCCAAGCATGTCACCTGGGCCGCGTCGTGAGCGTGACGGTGCGGCGCGCTACAGGTGACCTGCTCACTCAGCACTCGGCCAAGGAGTAGGTTGTGCGCTTGGAACAAAAGAGACGCCGGGCACCCCCACCGGCTGCCCCTCGCCCCGACTTGAGTATACTCCGTGGCAACTCTGAAGTGGCTCAGGCGGCTCAGGAGGCTAGGCGTGCTCTTGCCACCGGTGTTCGTGAAGAGCTCACGACGCGGCGCGGAGATGTTTGCACTGAGTTTGAGGATTTCCGCAAGACTGCAGCTGCTCATGCTCTTCGAGTGTGCGGCCCAGCTCAGAGGTCGTGTCGTAAACCTTGGCTCCGCAACCCTAAAGCCGCGTCCAAGATCAGGCGCATGAATGAGGAGTGCCTGACGCTCAGGGCGCGGAGAAGGCAGCTGCAGGCTACACTGCAGGAGGCGCCCGATGACGACGCCCTTGCACAACAGTTGGAGGCCTGCCGGGTGGAGCACAATGCAACTAAGCGGGCACAGCGGCTCAGACGCATGGAGCAACAGTTCTGGGATGGCTTCGTGGCAGATCACCCTGCGCAGGAATCTGATGCTTTCCAGTTCTGTCAGTCTCTTCGTGTTTTGCAGTCCAGAGGCCAGAAGAAAACTGCTCGGATCAGCCCGTTCTCGCCCTCGGAGTGGCGTGACCATTTCGCAGCTATCTCTTCTGCTCCTGAGTTCCTTGATGATGACGTTCGTGCTTTCATTGAGATGCTACCGGTCTCGGCTGAGCTGCAGGTTGTGTCGAAGCAACTTGACGACGACATTTCCTTTGACGAAGTGAAGCAGGCCGTCCGTCATTTGCGCTGTGGCGCGGGTGGTGGGGATGAGCTACCACCTGTCGTGCTGAAGGCCCTGTTTGAAGACGACCAGCTGGCGGGCAACATTCATGGGTTCATTGAGTTACTCTTCTGTATGCCACCTGAGGAGTGGCCCGAGATGGGCCTGGATGGCCCTGGTCTTCAGGTGCCCCTGGAGAGGAGTTGTGTTGTTGTGGACGGTCCCTCGTGTCCTAGCCCGGGTCCTCAACAAGCGCGGGCAAGCCTGGTTTGAACAGTCTGCCTTGCCGCTGCCCCAGAGCTTTGGAATTAGGCAGGGGCTTGGGACAGATGACGCCGCTCTCTTCATGATTCGCCGCCTTGATGAAGAAGTTTCGGCATGGAAGGCGGTTGGGTATCACGATGTTGAGTACGCGGCGGGGCTCATGGATCTAAAGAAGGCTTACCCGACAGCGAACAAGCTACCGTTTTGGCACATCCTGATGCATCATGGTATCTCACGAGAGGGGCCGTCCATGAGGACGTTTCGGGGTTTCCATGCTCACCGCCAGTACGCCGTCAGGACAGGACCTGGGTCCGCGCCAGCTGCTGTTAGCGAGCCTTACTTTCCGTCCCGAGGCTTTGGCGAAGGTGATGGCACGTCTCCTTGGGCGTGGAATGTGCTTTACAGCGTGGTGGTTCGCTATGCCGCTGAGCACCGCCGCGCCGCTGCTGCACGCCGGCCTCGAATGTGGCATTCCCTGGCGCTGGCAGCCGGAGCTTCGCCTGTCGTCAAAGTGGACGCGGAAAAATGATGGCCGCGCGTGTCGGACTGAGCAAGTTGAGCCCACCATCTTTGCGGATGACACGACACTTTATGGGAATAAGCGCGAGCTCTTGGAGGCTGGTCCACAGGTGCCCTCTCGCAAGAACACCTTTGAGGGCCAAGCTGGACATCCCGCCCTGGCTGCGGCCATGGAAAGGGAGCTGCGGTGGTTGGGACACTTGGCGTGCATGGAGGCCGGCACTGCCCGCACCTACGCTAAGGTCTTTGCGCGTGGAACAGTGCGTGTTGGAGACTTCCAAACGACGGCCTCTTGCGCTGGTGGTCGCATTTCGGCCGACCGCAAAGCTTTGCCGGACGTTTGGGTGGACCTGTGCCACAAGGGAAACCATTGCGTGTCGCGCGGACTGGAAGGCCGTTCTGAACCGTCGGGTGAGGCAGGCGATCTTTGAGGACCGGCAGACCTCGCACCGCCATCGTGACACTGTGGTGGACCCGGGCATGCAACCGTGGACTCGGCCTTCTGGCAGGCGCCCCCGGTCCCCGGCGGCTCAGGAAGCTCGCTTGGAACAGCAGCGGGCTCGGCGCCGCCAAACCCGCGACCGCCTCCTGTGCCCGCCGCTGCAGCAGACGAGAATGCACCCCGCAGGTTCGCAGAGACAGAGCTGGCAAGGTTTACTACGCTGGCGCGGGGCAGCGGCGAGTCAGCGCGGAGGAAAGAGCGACGTGGCCGTTCCAGTGTGACTTCCCTGGGTGTGGTTTGAGGTTCCAAGACCAGTCGCAGTTTGAGTAACCACAAGGGCAAAGCCGACAAGCCTGGTGGCACGCACTCTTTGCTGTGAAGCTTGCGATCCTTTTTTCATCTCTTCTCCTACAACTACAACTACGTTTTTTGTTCTCAGGGTTTAACTGCATTTGTGAAACTCTCACTGCAGCGTGGCTCGGAGGCTTCAGAACCTCTTCGCGAGGCTAAGCCTCTGAGTAGCGGGCGGGGGCCAACGGCACCTCTTGGCGAGGCGGCTCCTGTGTGACTTATCTCTGCTCAAGCAGTTTTGCCAGGAGAGGCTAGTTTGACTGCTGTGACTGCTCGCGCTAGCATGCCTCCTCAAAAACGAGCCCGTGCGCCGGCTGGCCGCTCGCGCGAAGACACCGTCGTCAAGCTCCTTGGGGCGCACGACGCGGCGCTTGAGAAGGTGCGGGCGGCCCTTACGATCTTCCTCTTCGTCCCGAAGATCATACACGAGTGCGTCGAGCAACCGGCCAAGGAGTGGAAGGAGAAGGGCAAGCAGGGCGAAGCTCACCCTGACGGTTGCAGCTGTACCACTGCCAGGCCTAAGGCGCTCCTCACGGCGCTGAATGCTATGCAAGGTGCGTCGCCGCTGCTCACTGCTACGGATGAGGCAAAGAAGACCTTCACATCTTTGGTTGACGTCATCAACCGGAAGCGCGCGGAGCTCATCGTGGCTGACATCACGTTGAAGGTGGCGGGGTCCCGCACCCCGGAGCAGTCACCTTATGAGATGACATTGATTGCTTCTGCCGAAGGGAATGCTCTACGTAGTGCGTTGTTTGCAGTGAGCCAACCGGGAGCTGTACCGGTGAACACTCGTGAAATGACCGAGAAAGTCTGGGAAGTTCGGTCGTACCGGCCAGTGCGCAAGGGAAGCTCTGATGAAGGAGCTCACAGCCTCTTCCTGAGGAGACAAGTCACGGGCTGGGCGCACAGAGCGCGGTGCCCAGCTCCCCCTCACAGCGCTCTGTTAATGACTTGGCGATCTTCGCTGCAGTTTTGACTGGTGGCTGCACGCTGTCTTCAGAAGTGTTTTCGTGCTGCCGCCTTTTTGCTCCAACGTTCATGCCGTCCGGACATGGTGGTGTGGACTACGACTTTTTTCTGGGCCGCTTTCTTCTGCTACTAAGCCAGGCCCTTCGGGGCTTAGTGCTTCACTCGACTCGACTCGACTCGACTTCCGAACGCTGTGCCCCGGCATGAACGTGAAGTAGCAGTCAGCTCCAAAGCCGACAGCCCTACACGGGGCGTATACTATACCACAACCTGTGGGAAACAGTAAGGGGCACAGGTTGGATGACTATCTAAGCAGAACGTTGCATGGGAGAGGGAGATCCTGGTTAGGCAGGCAAGCAGTCAGGGCAGAGAGAGGTAAGGGGAGCGAGTTCCATAACTCCACGAATAGATGAATAGTTACTTTCATACAAATACATATCAAATCAACTTCTATCTAGCTATCTATCCATCTGTCTTTCCGTCTGTCTGTCTGTCTGTCTGTCTGTCTGTCTGTCTGTCTGTCTGTCTATGCTAGCTGAACCTATCTAGCTATTTGTCTACATACCTATCTATGTGTCTATCGCAAACGCAGTGCAAGCAGAATGCAGTAATCCACTTATCAGAGGGTTGAGGTTCGGGTTTAAGGATTTCGTGGTTGTGCTGGCGGCTTGGGTTTGTGAGGAAAAGATGAAACTCGACTGCCATAGGATGTGCCGCTATGAAAAATCGTTTGCCATTTTTTATATACCCGGGCTTTGACATTCCCCCCTCATGGGAAGATTCGCGCTGGATAAATATGTATACATACACACACGCACACACACCAAACTGCGTATGTAGACAGATATATGATATACGTGCACGTATTCATCCGTGCACGTATTGAAAGGGACGGCAAGGGGCCAGAGAATGTAGAACAAATAAAGTTACACGGCATGCTAGAACCCATCAAGAGGCAATGTGGTTGCGGCTAGATAAGTCCAGACGGATAAAACAGTGATGTCGGTGGAGACTTGGCAACGGCCGGAGATGAGCTTCATTCATTCATTCATTCCTTCCTTCCTTCATTCCTTCATTCCTTCATTCCTTCATTCCTTCATTCCTTCATTCCTTCATTCCTTCCTTCCTTCCTTCCTTCCTTCGTTCTTTCGTTCCTTCGTTCCTTCGTTCCTTCGTTCCTTCGTTCCTTCGTTCCTTCGTTCCTTCGTTCCTTCGTTCCTTCGTTCCTTCGTTCCTTCGTTCCTTCGTTCCTTCGTTCCTTCGTTCCTTCGTTCCTTCGTTCCTTCGTTCCTTCGTTCCTTTCCTTCGTTCCTTCGTTCGTTCCTTCCTTCGTTCCTTCCTTCGTTCCTTCCTTCGTTCCTTCGTTCGTTCCTTCGTTCGTTCCTTCGTTCGTTCCTTCGTTCGTTCCTTCGTTCGTTCGTTCCTTCGTTCGTTCGTTCGTTCGTTCATGCATTCATTCGTTCGTTCGTTCGTTCATGCATTCGTTCGTTCATGCATTCGTTCGTTCATGCATTCGTTCGTTCATGCATTCGTTCGTTCATGCATTCGTTCGTTCATGCATTCGTTCGTTCATGCATTCGTTCGTTCATGCATTCGTTCGTTCATGCATTCGTTCGTTCATGCATTCGTTCGTTCATGCATTCGTTCGTTCATGCATTCGTTCATTCATGCATTCGTTCGTTCATGCATTCATTCATGCATTCATTCATTCATTCATTGTTTGATTTTTCTCTTTTATTCATTCTCATTTTTTGCGTCACACACACTCTCGCTGCCTCTCTCTTTGGCTTTCTCTCGTTGTCTTGCTCTCTCTCTCCCTCTCTCTCTGTCTTCCCCCTTCTTGCCACATTGTCAGCGCTTTTCTTTCTTCTCATGAGACGCAATATACCAACAGTAGAATGGAATGGTTGTAGCCGGAACAGAAGCGCTCGTCCTGCTCTTGAAACTGCTCCTCAGAAAGGGGTGGCTGAGGAAGCTGACGACGCCAACGTACGGCGATCTGAACCACCTGGTCTCCGCGGCCATGAGTGGTGTGACCTGCTGCTTGCGCTTCCCGGGACAGTGGCTCGACTCGAACGTTTTCCACGATGAACTGTTCCTACCGCTGGCATGTTGTTTACACGTGTCGTGCCGAGGTTGAACTGCGACTTGCGCAAGATCGCCGTCAACCTGGTGCCTTTCCCGCGTGGCCTGGAATGCAAGTCATTGGGATTGGGCACCCCTTCACTCAATGCTTCCTTCACACGTCGTCTGTATATCCCAAGCAAGTATTGTTTTCCGTTTTAGATGTCGTTGTCCCTCGGACAGTACATCCTGTCCGCAGGCTTGCACTTCTTCATGACGGGCTTCGCGCCGCTGACCTCCCGCGGGTCGCAGCAGTACCGAGCCCTGACCGTCCCCGACTCGGAGAATGGGGGCTGAGCTGCAGGGCGGTCCTTGATTTCCGATGTGGATGCCACGGGATGTTTTGCAAAGCGAGTTTTGCAAAGCAACGTGGTGTCCCGAGCTCTTTAGCTGCAGGTGCCCGAACTGACCCAGCAAATGTTCGATGCCAAGAACATGCTTCTCGGCTCAACATCCCCTAACAACTGCCTAGCAGCTTCAAGTTCTTCAGCCCGTCAACTATCGGACGTCCCAGGATGTGCGCTGCGGACCCGCGGCACGGCCGGTACCTCACCGCGGCAGCCCTCTTCCGTGGCCGCATGTCCACGAAGGAGGCAGGCAAACCCGACACCCGGCACTTGAACTTCCACTTGCAAGATACACAACCTGTGTGGGGTGAAGGGGCTTGCCAGCTCAGTCTACGCTTCGTTGATTGATTACTCATGGTGCACCGTGAATGGAACACAGCTTGTGACTTCGATCGGGATGACGGCTTGGCACTTTGCTTCTTCCATTGGATGCAGAACATTAGTGAAAATGTTCGCTTGCACGTTGTGCTCGACCTTTTTGTTGACATCCTGAGCTACTAACATACTTGCAGGTGGATGAGCAAATGCTCAATGTTCAGAACAAGAACTCTTCCTACTTCGTGGAGTGGATCCCCAACAACATCAAGGCGTCCGTGTGCGATATCCCTCCGAAAGGCCACCGGGCAGTGATTCGAAGGACGGAGTGGTGGGATGTCGGTCACTGCTAGATGATGATGATGATGCCGATGATCATGACTCTTTTTTCATAGCGGGCGCTTCTCGAAAACGGGCCCGGCTTCTTCGAATGCATTGCTGCCACAGCGGCAAGCAACGGCACTAAGCAAGAACCCGTGGGAGGTACACGACCAGTGGAAGGAGGGGGAAGAAGGGAAGAAGGAAGTTGGGCTGACAAGTCTTGGGGAGTCGTTCTCGATGCAGTGGCGATGTGACAGGTGTTGAAGTGGTTCTAACTTCAACAAGTCGCATGGGAAGATGAAGATATACGGATTGGTACAAACATGTCGTCGGTGGGCACTGTTGCCGAGTCCGAGCTTCAAGGGTTCTTCTGGGTGTCCATCAGTATGTACTGGCTCACGACACACCTGTGCCACCCTGCCTTGTCTTTCGACTTCGACAGTTGCAGGTCTGAAGATGGCAGTCGCCTTTGCGGGAAACTCGACCGCCATCCAGGAGATGTTCAAGAGGTGCCTTCGGGTTTGTAACTGTCAGGGGACTCAGCGCACAGGTTTTTCAGTGTGCTGGCTGTGCTGTGTTGCCACTTCGAAGAGGTAGCCTGACCTCCGCATTCGACAGTCCGCAAAACAGCTCTTATTTTTGATCGCTCTCGGAAGCCTTTCTGCCGGGCAGGGTGGCCGAGTACTTCACGGCCATGTTCCGACGCAAGGCCTTCTTGCACTGGTACACTGGTGAAGGCTCGCTCGAACAAGGGTCAGCGGGCTGCAGTGCCAGCAAAAGTTACAGCTCTGGAATTGTGAACCCCGATTGGCCGTGGAGGAACGTGAAGGTCAAGCTTGCCTTCTATCAGATGCTTGACAGCTTGCTTGTGCATCCTCACACTTGCGACAGACAGTTGCCAACTCCTAGTCTTATGCGTTTGTTCTTCCTGTTGCGAGCTTGAACAGGATGATGATACTAAGTCATGCGAGCGGAAGCAAGAAAAAAACTGGCGCAGATGCCAAAGATGGAAAACCTGCGCCCACCCACTTCTTCTCATTGCGGCAGGTATGGATGAGATGGAGTTCACGGAGGCGGAGTCCAACATGAACGACCTGGTGTCGGAGTATCAGCAGTACCAGGCGTGCCGCTACTAGTAAACTCGACAGGGACACCTTCGTGCGTCGTGACCATTGCTGATGTCACTTTCCTTGCTCTCCTTTTTGCATGGATCTTGGGCATTCCCCTTTGACGCGGCAGCTGTAAGCCTCTGCGCCGGACATGGATTGTCTCTTTTTTCCGTCAGGACGCCACCGCCGAGGAGGAAGGCGGGACAGCACGACAGAGAGTCCATGTCGCGGAGCTCTGTGGATTTGGGCGTCGGCTTTGTTGTGAGCGTTGCAGCCTCTTGGTGTAGGGCACCCCTTCTTCGCAATTTTAGCAGATGTTGTGGGGATCCTGGTGCCACATGCTTGTTGCGAAGCAAGGGGTGGACGGCTTTCCTAACCCTGCAGGTGAGTTTGACGAGGAGGAGGGCGAGTACGATGGATAGGCGTGAAGTTGCGCCGACCCATGCTCGCACCGCCAAACTGCTCAGACCGATGATGACCTCGGCTGTGCCCCTTGTCGCAAGTGGACGCAGGCGGGGGAATTCATTTCTGGCAGGCTTTCAGGAAAATCCTGAAGGCAGGTCGAGCATGAAGTCACTGCAGGGGCAATGGTGCAGACAAAGGGCCTCTGCATGTAGCGACAGTCTCAGCTGGCTCTCGAAGACCCAGTGTCAACAGGCTGCACCGACACCCGGTGCCCTCCAAGCGTGCATGCTTGCCTGCAGCGTCTCTAAGAAGTCTCGAGCGACCTCCTTGCCGTTCATCGCCTTCCGTGCAGCCATGCGTGAGCTCGTGCACGTCCAGGGTGGCCAGTGTGCCTCGGGCAAGAATGGATCTCAAGCCGAGAACCGAGAATTTTAGTTGTGGCCTGGGGTTCAGATTTCCTGTGGCACCAGGTTTTTTGTCGCCAGCCCGAGTTCTCGTGCTCTTTGCGAGTTGGGGTTCTGCAGCAAGTTCCGCTTGGACTCGAGTTCTGGGTTCGACCAAACGGCTAGCCTCACGGTCCCGGGAGCAAGTGCTTCATGTTTTCTCTGTCTATTGTAAGTAGGATCAAGAGTATCTTTCCGGAGGCGGCAACCAGATCGGTGCCAAGTTCTGGGAGGCGCGCCTTCATGCCCTGCATGGGGTTTGTGGAATTCTTCCCAGAGAGAGTTTGGGCGGATCTTGTACCCAATTCTCCTCGCAACTCAGCCCTGTGCACATGATTCCTGCAACACACCTCTCGGCACAGGTGATCGCCGATGAGCACGGAATCGATCCCACAGGTGCAGATCTTTCGGGTTCCTTCCGAGTCGTGCTGCAGGGATTTTGGATGGCGAAAGGACTGCAAGGGGTCTGCAGGAACCTATCATGGCGATTCCGACCTGCAGCTGGAGCGTATCAACGTGTCTGTGCTGCATGGGTATGCGAGAGGCGCTTCCAGCCTTTTCTCTGTCGTTTTTGGAACCGCAGGCGCAGGGACAGCGATGACTTATTACAGCAGCTCAGGTGTACTTCAACGAGGCGACAGGGGGCCGCTACGTTCCCCGTGCGGTCCTGATGGATCTTGAGCCAGGCCCGTGTGTCAGTGCTGGGTGGCAGTAGAGGGGTCATGGATGGTGGATGGCGTGCTGCATTGCTGGGTGTGTGCCACTTCGGCAGTGTGGAACCTGCGCTAGGAACCATGGACTCCGTCCGAGCCGGGCCTTTTGGTCAGCTCTTCCGTCCCGACAACTTCGTCTTTGGACAGACAGGACGGAGCACCCCGCTGTCTCGAGAATCAATGTGTTTGTGCAGCCGCACTCGCACTTCTCTTCAGGAGCTGGCAACAACTGGGCCAAGGGTTGGGCGCCCGATCACGGTTGCGGCTGGCTGTGACCGATACTACTAGCCCTGCGTGCGCACGTTTTCTGAATGAGGTCACTACACTGAGGTCGTGAGCTGAGCCTGCAGCCCTTGCGTCAACCTATTGCACATCAAAGACAGCACTAACGTCTCATGATGTGCACCCAACCGTCAAAATCCAAAAGCCTTCAGACCAAGGGAGCAGAGCTCATTGACTCGGTGCTGGACGTCGTGCGCAAGGAAGCAGAAGGCAGCTGATACGCAGACCTCCACAAACCCCGAGTCCGGCTTTACTTAGTCCAGCCGCTAATATGGCCGATTCTTCATCGCCTAAGAGCTCCCTTGAGGGCTAAGGCTTTTGGAAGACTCCGAAGCGTGTGCCCGGTTGAGCCTGGAGTCTGGAGTCCAGAATCTAGAATTCGAGACCCCTACCGGACCTTCACAATCGCATCTCGCGAAGCCTTTGCTGTGCCTTGCAGGCTGCGACTGCCTCCAGGGCTTCCAGCTCTGCCACTCGCTCGGTGGCGGAACTGGTGCCGGCATGGGAACTTTGCTCATCTCCAAGGTGGGAGCTCTGAGGTCCTTATAGGAACAAGTCACGCGGCCACCTCCGTTAGGCATGTTAGGAGGCCCCAGCTCCCGCAGATCCCGTACAGCTCGAATCCCCTGTCCAACTCCCTTCAGGTGAGAGAGGAGTCCCTTGGATGGCATTGGAGGGGACCTTGAGTTAGGGGCTGAAGATCATGGCTTTCCTGAATGTTGGTTGAAGGGAGGATTTGTAGGCGCTTTAGCAGGGTTTGCTTCTCGTTGACACTTGGCAAGTATTGGAACAAGATATGCAAACACAGTCTTAAGACCGGTGCAAAAGAAGTTGTTACTTCATCAAAATATATAGAACGTGGATGGGGTGAGCGAAAACCCAAAGACATGTCCCAATTGTGCTTGATCTATTGGATTCAGGCGGCAGCACCGACATGCATCCAAGGTACCCAGACCGCATCATGGAGACCTTCTCGGTGATCCCGTCACCCAAGGTCTCCGACACGGTGGTGGAGCCGTACAACGCCGTGTTGAGCTTTCACCAGCTCGTGGAGAACTCCGATGAGTCCTTCCTGCTGGCTACTTGCCAAAGTGAAGTAGGTCGTCTCCAAATTTGCCCCTCCAAGCAGCCGATGATGCTTAGAACTTTTGCTGTAAATGTCCCCCGCAACGCACCGGCGAAATTTCTAGCTGAGGACAACGAGGCTCTCTACGATATCTGCTTTCGAACGCTGAGTCCCGGCATAAACGTGGCAGGGAAGAAGCAAAGATCAGTTCCAAACCCTAAGGGCCTTGCTAGCCTTGCTCAGCCCAGCTGACGAAATCTCTACAATGACTGATAGGCCCAAGCCTTTCCGACCCTCACTCCCGGACACCAAAACTGTCCTCGAACCATACTCGCAACAACGGAAATCAAGGGCCAGGCAGACTTAGAACACACTTTCGGGGTTAAAGGCGTACGACACGATCTTTTTTGCTTTGTGTTGTGGAATAGATGTTTTTTTTATTCTCAGGGTTTAGTTTTAGGATTCACGGGTTATGATTTAGGGTTAAGGGTTTCAAGGTTTCTCTTAGGGTCTACGCTTCAGGGATTCGGTGTTTAGGGTATAGGGGTTTAGGATTTATTTCGGGTTTAGGCCAAGAAATAAGAAATGCGCCCGCAGCCAGAAGCCAAGGAGCCAGAACGCATGAGGCAGAGCAAGCCACAAACAAAAGGCAAAACAAAGCCCGCCAGTTCCTGAAAAGTACAAACCTCCATCCTAGCGGTCTCCTCAAACCCTAAAACAAGCTAAAGGAAGAGAGGGTACAGAAAAACCAATATTCTTAAACCCTTAAGCATGCAAGACCGAAGCCCTAAACCCAACCCGCCAATCCAACTTCGAGACACTTCGCGTGGAGGGATACAGCCTCATGTAGTGCCATTCGTGCCCCTGTTGCAGACATCATGCCCAGCAAACTCATTGGGCCAGTGGCGGCCCCAGCTCAGTTTTCAAAACATGGTCGATGGCACAGCAGTATCGCGCGAGTCGTATGATCAGACAGCGCTTGAAGTGCGTGGCTCGGAGCACGCAAGGCCTCAATTGGCGCAGCTTGGCACATGCTCGTAAGCTGCGGGCAATAGTCCAGGCACGACCTTTGAATTAGTCGCTGGTTATCCTGTCTGATTTGACCTCCACCGTTTTGGAGCGGTGTATGCTCTGGTTCAATCGCAAGACAGCTACGTCGCCAGCTTGTCTGGCCTACGCATGTTGATACGCCCTTTCCTGCAGAGTCACTTGTTCCTCGGAAAGACATGCGTGTGGCCAATTGTTTGGACCTAAGCCTAAGCATTTCGTGGAATCAGTCAATCACTTGCCATACATTGGGAGGGGACTGGACATCTAGGTCTGGACTCCGGTCCGCGCGGCTTGCAATATCCCACCACTTCGGGCATGCCGTGTTGTCAAACGTTGGTCATCAGTTTCCCAATCGCAATCGTGGCGCACGGCGCCATGCAGTCAAGTCCAAAGTTTATGAACTGGACTATATCATCGGCGCTCTTGATTTTGAGATGAATCAAACGCATGGTCTCGGGCCATGTGGCTAAGCTGGTGTGCTTTCACTAGGTCCCTGACTCACAGAAGGACTGATGTGGACATATAGTTTCTTGAAAGTGGCGCATTGTTCAGCCAAGCCGCAGTTGGACATTTCAGCTATATCAGGCCCGTCGGTGAAATCCAACACTTGCGAGCTCAACTCCGCAGCCGCATGGATAGATCGTTGCGCCTCCCCACGTGGAACTTGACCCAACGAGACAGGTAGTCGACATACGTTTGTTCGTGGATCCCTTTTGGATGGCGAGGGGTCCCATGTTGCAGGTTGGGGATGTGAGGCCGGCATGCGCCAGTCCAGGCCCATCTGTTCAGTCCATCCGTTGCGACTCATTAGAGGCCACTGGATGCTCTGGCCTCAAATAGATGCAGCGGCACATCGGTGCCAAGAGGGTGCCTTTACGCGTGCGTTTGGCCCGTGTCCTTTCCACACAAGACGTTGCGTCAATGTTCCCCCCACTTCGAGAATGCAGCTACGCAGCTTTTGGGTGGCGGAACGGGTAAGAAAAGTGCATGCAAAGATCTGGTCGCACTTACTGACATGTGAAGTTTGGTGATGCCAAAGTTCACTCCTTGTGGGTCCCGAAGACACTCGGCATGTTGATTGTGAACAGCTGGAGTCTGCTCGTCAGGCTCTGGACCGCTTGGGTGGCGGCAAGGCTCCGCTTCATGCGACCTCTTCGGCGTCGATCCTCTTAGACCGTGCAGCCTTTCCTCTGGCATGCCTTTGCGCACACCTCGGTCTGCTGAAGATTTAATTGCTTTTCTGGAATGCACGGGCTGGATTGAGCCTGAAGTCTTTGGCGCCAGCCGGGAAGTCCAATGCTGCCAAGAGGCCAGCAAAGGAAACCTCGTTCATGCACAATCTCCAGCTTGATGTCATCCTTAAAAGCCTTCAAATTGGCCCTCAGCCACGCAACTTTGAAGCCCCGCGACATGTTGGCAAGTCTGTCGACGGGTGAAGATGCGACTCCTTAGCACTTGGCCCA